TCGATTGAATTTAATGCATTTCTATTTATTCGTTTTAATTAAATTGTTATGTTCTCATGCATTTAGCGCCACCAATTTGTATTGTAAATTACATTTAACTATTATTACTAGCTTTCAGTCATTTAACCGTTTCAAGTGGCCAGATAAGATTTCAAACTCTCTTCGGTTAGAATTAACTAATTCGGATTGATGGCTGATAACGACGACAACGATACGAGTTGAAAAAATAAAATAAAAAAAAACAAAACAAAACTGAATATCCCCATTCACAGTGGAGGGAAAAACTGGCGGGAACGCAAGCTATTTAATGCACGTGCGAAATTTATTACAGCAACAACAATAGCATCAAAGCAAGCGTATAACCACAAAACAAATAAATAAAAACAAAAAAAAAAAAAAACCTCACAAGCCCACGAGCCGCATTAAGCCGGGCGCAAATAAAAAACGACAGCAGAGCGATAATGCAAAAACAACAACAAGATAAATTATAACACCAACAACAATATACTACTAATAATAATAATATAAACTATTAAAAGTGCCATTTATTGGTGCATAAATTTAAACTATTAGTTAATAATCATTAGTTATCGGTTGTGTTATTTACGATTATTTAATTTGTTTATTAGTCTCTTAATCGAAAATTGTCGTAAAGCGTGCAGGCGATTATAAGAAAAGCGGCAGAATGGCAACATGTTTATTTTTTTTTTTTTTGATTCGGAAAAGTATTTTCGAAATCTGGAGGACCACAATTTTATAGAGACAAACTGATTGGGAAAGGGAGACTATACGTAGACAAGCCGACGAGCCACAAACAGGCGAGCTGAAGGACCAGTGGCAGGTTTCTACAAGGCCTTCACAGCACGTTTACATCCAAAATCTTAACCCGCTTTATCCCTGATAATTAAACATTCACAAAAATGTGACCATGGAGAACATACCATGGTAGAAGCATACAGGTAGTCGCATGGACACAGCTGCTGGGAGAATGAACAGTCAAAATAATTTTGGAATTGAAAATTTTAAATGAAAAATTATTGAAGTTTGTAAAATTTGTTCAAAAATACATATAATAACAACCTCCTAGTGTCGTCGGATAAGAAAACATATGAAAATATACTTAATTTTGACAAAATATTAAAAAAATTTTGACGTATCAATGTTACCAAGCATTGATCCATCTGCCTGTATTCTTCTACCATGAGAATGTACACTAAATTTATTGTGATTGATCAATTATCAAGGTTAAGCCGGTTAAAGGTGTTGTATCTAAACTCGCTATTAAACGGATTTTCTTTCAATAGAGATCCCTAGAGAAATATTTATCTATCATTAATTTATCTATAATTAAGAAGGTAAAGTCATTTCAAATAAGACTATCCATCTCTGCATTCTTTGCAATTTACCTTGACAAATTTCAATACCTAAAAAACAAGTTCCCATCTCTGATTTCTGAATATACAGGGTGAGATAAAAAAAAAAAATCTGTAACCAACTTCAGACTGCTGGCATTTCTAAGCCACCCGTCGGACAATTGTTAAAATTATTCCAATGACAGCTCATTATATTGTTTACAAGCGTACAAAAGCATTTTGTATACAGCAGAGTTTTCCAGAAAAAAAGTTATTCGTGATTGAATTCAAGCGGGATAGTGTGATTTTTTTATATTTGGCTGGAAAACCACAAGCGGCAATCGTTAGAGCACTCCAGCATTTAAATGCGAATAAATCTTTTGTGTCTTCTACCAACGCTACTGCTACTGGAAGCGTAGACCGACATCAAAGAAGTGGACGGAAGAAAACAGCAACATCAGCAGAAATGGTTCGAAAGGTAAAGAAGCGACTTCATCGAAACCCACGTCGCAGTGGCTCGTGTGCTGAACATATCGCATTCGGCAATGTTTCATTCGGCAAATATTGAAAAATGAGCTCGGTGTAAAGCCATTGAAATTCCAAAAAGTGCAAAAACTTGCACCGCAACAGAAGGAAAATATACTCAAAAGAGGTAAAGAGTTGCTTCGTTCGGCCAAAAGTGGTGAACTGCCGAATTTGGTTTTCTCCGATGAGAAAACATTCGTTGCCCAGCAGTTTGCAAAGAAACAAAATGATCGCGTTTACTTACCAAAGAGGTCAGCTGAAAATGTGCTCCCTCGGTTGGCCACCAGAACAGAACTCAAGCGCCGGCCATGGTGATGGTGTGGGCCGCCATAACAGCCGACGATCACTCTCCGCTGGTATTAATCGAATATTATAGCGAAATGCCGAATATTATAGCGAAAATATTCTGGAGGGTGTATTAAAGCCTTGGGCACGCAAACATTTTGGCCGCAGACCTTAGATATTCCAACAGGACTCAGCACCATCGTACTCAGACACCCAAGAATGGTTACAAAATGAGGTTCTTCGCTTTATTTCCAGCACACAATGGCCACCAAAATCTCCGGATACCAATCCGTTGGACTATTGTGTCTGGAGTATTTTGAAAGGCAAGGTTGGCACTAAAAAATACCAAGAGCAACATTCAGGCATAGAGTGACGGTTTTATTGGCCGTTTAAAGGCCATAATTCGTGCCAAAGGTGACCAATTCAAACAAATCTAAACTTATTCCAAAATTTGGTGCTATTTCCGACATTTTTTGCTTTAATTCAATAAAATTACGAAAAAAAAGAAAAAATTATGTATGGCGTTTGACTTTGTTGCAGTTTATTTTTTTATCTCGCCCTGTATACATACAATGTTCCGCCGCCGGAGCTACAACCCATTTTGACCTACAAATGCCAATTTTTAGACAAATTCGTGGAAAAGTGTGGCAAAATTCATGGAAATACCGTTACATGGGGCTATACAAAAATGTGGATCAATACATACAATTTTCCGCTACCAAAGCTAGAATCCATTACGACCTACAAATACTAACTTTTTTGACAAATGTGACACAAATCATCAAAATACCGAACATCGGGAGGTACTGTTATATGGGGGCTATACAAAAACGTTGACCCATACCGGAGTTAGGACCCAATTATAAATTGCAATTTTTAGACAAATCCGTGGAATAATATGCCAAAAATCATCAAAATACCGAATAAGACCTATACATACCAGTTCTTAGATAAAATGTGGTGAAAATCATCAATGTGCCGAATATCGGGGAATACCATTATATGGCGACTGTACCAAAACGAGGACTGATGTATCTCATTTTCAATACCAACCCTCCTAGATACAATACAAGTTGTTGTGCCAAATTTTGAAACTCTACATCAAACAATGTAGGCTGTATCGTGATTTCAACAGACAGATAGACGGACAGACAGACAGACGGACATCGTTAAATCGACTTAGAATTTTATGCTGATCCTGAATATATACATATACTTTATTAGCTCTGCAATGAATATTTAGAGACGTTACAAAAGTTAATATACCCTCCTTGCCAAGGTGGAGGAAATAATTGTTTATAACTATTTTTTTTTCTTTTTATATCCTCCACTATAGTATGGTCAGTCATTCCGTTTGTAACACCTCGAAAGTTTGTCATTCCGTTTGTAACACCACGAAATACACATTTTAGACCCCAAAAAGTATATATATTCTTGATCAGCATAAAATTCTATGTCGATTTAGCGATGTCCGACCGACTGTCCATCTATCCGTCTGTGGAAATCACTCTAGTTTCCGAACGAATTGAAGTAGATTGATACAATTTTGCTCAAATGTATGTTATGTCTGCAGGACTTTTGGCATTGAAAATGGGCCATTTATGTCGACGTTTTGGTATAGCGCCCATATAACTGTACCTCCCGATATTCGGTATTTTTATGATTTTAGCGACATTTTTCACCGGAATAGTTTCAAATTTTACATTTGAAGTTTGTAATGGATACTCCAGCCTAAGACTGAAAATTGTCTGTGCGGTTCCATGTCTTCGTATAGCATATAGTTCATATACCGGTACCTCCCGATATTCGGTATTTTGATGATTTTAGCGAATTTATTCACCGAATTTATTCCCAAATTAGGTATTTAAAGTTTGCAATGGATACTTTAGCCTAAAACAGAAAATTGTCTGTGCAGATCCACCTCTTCGTAAAGCCCTTATATAACGGTACCTCCCGATATTCGGTATTTTAATGATTTTACGGACATTTTTCACTAGAATTGTTTGAAATTTGGTATTTGAAGATCGAAATGGGGTCCATGTCTTCGTAGAGCCCCCATATAACGGTACTTGCCGATATTCGGTATTTTGATTTTATCGACATTATAATCGATTTTTTTAAGTTTCTCATTTGAATATTGTAATGGCTTATGACAAATGTTACCTACGCAGGTTCATGTCGTCGTATAGACCCTAATATAATAGCTACATTCGGTATTTTTAAGATTTTAACAGAAGTTTTAAAGGATTTTATTATTTTTGAGAATTGCCAAATTCGTTCCAAATGGTGGAGGGTATTCAAAGTTCGTCCCGGCCGAACTTACTTCTTTTTTACTTGTAAAATTTCAAAATCTTCATAGAACAAGAATCGAGCCCCCAGCTACGGGTTTCTTATCCATGGAAGGGTTTTTGAATGTCATCTATCTATAAAAGATCTATTGATAGTCTAGGGTGCACATGTGTACGGTGCAATGACCGTTATTATTTACGAGATTTCATACATATCGTATTTTAGTTTTGATCTTTTCCCAACATTTTTCCTTGGCTGTAAAACGTAAATGAATTGCAAAAAAATTGTTGCTATTATTTATTTATTTTTTTTTTATAAACAAAAAAATTGAAAATATGTACAGTAAGCTTGTTACCTTGTGTCGTTGACAGATATTTATTTAACAGTTCAAAATTTCCTCTCTAGCTGAATTTCAAAACAAAACAATACACAACGCACTCAAACACACACTCACACTCACACCCAAAGAGAATAACCTTTTTTCCACTTGTTGGGGGGATCGTCGGTCATTTGACAATTTGGTTTAACAAAAAAACATTTTGTTGATCACTCTTTGACTGAAACTCGGCCGATATACTCGTGCTTATAGATCGGTCGTCGTTTGTCAGTTGTCGTGAACGGTGGTCAACAGGTACGGCGTTTTGCTTAGCAAAAGTTTGTACCGTGCCGTTGAAATTTTGAAAAAAAAAAAAAAAATATTCTCATATAGCAATGAACGTTATTTGCACCAAGTCAGACGTGCGATGTTAAGCGGAGTTAAAAGCTGTGTTAACACAAAATAATAAATACAAAAAAAAAAAAAAAATCAAGCCGTCGGCAATTAAAATAAAAACGTAAAAATTGAAACAATTTGTTATTAATTAAAGCAAATAATACGTGTGCCATGTTATTACGAAAAAAAAAACAAATAAATAATAATAAAGGCTTATAGTACGTTTACAGGTTTCCGGCTGTAGTAAACCTAGTGGATTTAAATTGTCAATTCTAATGAATATATGTCAAATAAATCCTTCTTAAGAAGGTTAAACCGACAAAAAAAAAACCCTAATATAAATATGTCATTATTCCATATGTACAATAAATAATAATAAAGATTGTGAACAAATAAAATCTATGGACTTAAAACAATCATAGAAATAAAAGAAAAAAATATAGAAAAAAAATATCGTCAAATAAATAACGAAAAATCCAATCACAAGGTATCTAAGACAGTACAATGCATTGAATTTAAGTGTAGTATAATAAAACATATGCAGGGTGAGATAAAAAAACTGCAACAATGTCAAACGTCATAATTTTTACATTTGTTTTTAAATTTTATTGAATGAAAGCAAAAATGTCGGAAATAGGATCAAATTTTAGAATAAGTTTAGATTTTTTCGAATTGGTCACCCTTGGCACGAATTACGGCCTTTAAACGTCCAATAAAACCGCCACACGCTGCCCGAATATTGCTCTGCGTTGTTTCGTTCCATTCCCGGCAAAGCGCTTGCTTTAGGTGATCGACTCTTTGGAATGTTTTAGTGCCAACCTTGCTTTCCAAAATACTCAAGACACAATAGTCCAACGGATTGGTATACGGAGATTTTGGTGACCATTGTGCGCTGGAAATGAAGTGAGGATTCTCATTTTGTAACCATTCTTCTGTGGCGCGTGTTGAGTTCTGTTGGAATGTCCAAAATGTTTGCGTGCCCAAGACTTCGGCATTTATTCTGATGCCACGGTCGATCAATACGAGCGGAGAGCGACTATAGGCTGTTATGGTGGCCCACACCATCACCATGGCCGGCGCTTGAGTTCTGGAGGTCAACCGAAGATGCACATTTGGCATTTTGTTTGTTTACAAACTGCTGAACAACAAATGTTTTCTCAGCGGAGAAAACCAAATTCGGCAGTTTTTAGTGTCAACCTTGCTTTTCAAAATACTCCAGACACAATAGTCCAATGGATTGGTATCCGTGGATTTTGGTGGCAATTGTACGCTGAAAATGAAGCGAGGAACCTCATTTTGTAACCATTCTTGGCTGGTGCATGCTGAGTCCTGTTGGAATGTCCAAGGTCTGCGAATGTTTTCTCATCGGAGAAAACCAAATTCGGCAGTTCACCACTTTGGGCCAAGCGAAGCAACTCCTTAGCTCTTTTGAGTCTATTTTCTTTGTGTGGTGGTGTAAGTTTTTTTTTGCAATTTCGATGGTTCTACCCCGAGGTCATTTTTCAATATTTGACGAATGCTATATGTTCAGCTCACGAGCTATTTTTCGGCCACTGCGACGCGGGTTTCGATCAGGTCGTTTTTTTACTTTTCGAACCATTTCTGCTGATGTTGTTGTTTTTTTTTTCGTCCACTTCTTTGACATCGAGCTACGCTACCAGTATCACGGTAACGAGCGATGGTACAAGACACAATAGATTTATTCACATTTAAATGCCGGAGTGCTCTAACGATAGCCACTTGTGGTTTGCCAGCCAAATATAAAAAAAATCACACTATCCCGCTTGAATTCCATCAGGAATATTTTCTTGTGGAAAATTCTCACCAAAATGCTTTTGTACGCTTGTAAACAATATAATGAGCTGTCACTGGAATAATTTTAACAGCTGTCGGACAGCATTCTGAAGTTGGTTGCACTTTTTTCATCTCACCCTGTATATATTCATGATCGGCATAAAATTCTAAGTCGATTTAACGATGCCTGTCTGTCGGTCTGTCTGTTTAAATCACGATACATGACGTAGAGCTTTCAAAATTTTGGCAGAACAATTTGTATTGCGTCTAGGATGCTTCGTATTGAAAATGAGATATATCGACCCACGATGTATCGATAGCGATACTTCCCAATATTCTACACATTTTTCTCCACGGATTGATCTAAAAATTAGTATTTGGGAGTGGTAAATGGTTCTAGCTCAGGTGGCGTATATAACATTGTATGTAAAGGTCCATGCTTTTGTATAGCCCCCATATAACGGTACGCCCCAATATTCGCTATTTTGATGATTTTAGGCACACTAAAATTCTTCACCAGAACTTCTTTGTGAGTACTTTACCCTGCAAGAGAATTGTCTATAAAGGTCCACGATATCGTATATTCCCCATATAATGGTACATCCCGATAATTTGTACTTTAATGATTTTGGCCACATTTTCAATGGAATTTTCTAAAAAACCGCACAAAGAGTTCCTTCTGAGTACTTTACCCACTGGAAAAGAATTGTCTATATAGGTACACGATATCATATAGCTCCCATATAACGGTATCTCCCGATATTCGGTATTTATACCCTACACCACAAGGTGGTCAGGGTACAATGTCTTTGTGCATTTGTTTGTAACAGGTAAAAGGAAACGAGATAGACCCATAGTTCCTTTTGATGATCTGCATAGAATCACAATCTGAGTCGATTTATGCATGTCCGTCCGTCCGTCCGTTTGTCCGTCCAGTACACTTTGCATTTATTACGCGATCCAGATGAAATTTTGCACAAATCATTTGTTTGGCCCAAGGACGAACCCTATTAAAATTGGAGATAATAGGTAAGAATTAAGATATAGCTCCCATATATATCTTCGTCCGATTTGCCTTTTATTGTGCACCAAACGTGTAATATCAGCCCGAATAGTATGGAATTTTGCACATACAACCTAATTAGGCCTGAAAATAAGTATGCCAAATTTGATCGAAATCGGTTCAGATATAGCTATAGCTCCCATATACAGGGTTGCCCATATTCGACGGACCCATCTGGCAACGCCATAACTTTTGACAGAGATGTCACATCCCTTAATGACATACCGCGTTTGAAGCGTCAGTCCAAGTAGATTTTTACCATGAACCAATACACGCCACGCGAGCGTTCTGAAATATTTGAAATTTACATTCAACGGAAGAAGTCAATTGTGAAAACTCAACGTGCTTTTTAAGCCAGATAAGCGCTTTATGTATTCCCACCTTTAAGCGTTTATACGAAAAATTTTCGACTGGTAAGGCTCTTTCTAATCCGCAGAGATCATATTAAAGTCGACCAAGGCGGTCGGCCGAGAATATCGCTGCCGTACGAACCAGTGTTGAGAGGTCCTCAAGAACATCCCAAAGACGCCGTTCTCAGCAGTTGGGCATGGCTCGGTCCACTTTACAACGGATTATTCGCATTGATTTGCATTTGTTCCCTGCGGACAAGCCTCGTCGATTGGAATGGGCCCAAAGAGTCATCGAAATAGCCGAAAAAAACATGGGTCCGTAGACTATGGGCAATCCTGTATATTGTTAAAACGATTTGTTAATTTTGTCCTCCGCAGCCGTAAGATGTACTCTGTAACAACAATACTTGGGAAAATATACCAAATGCAGCTCAGAAATACCTTCGCTAAATTGTATAGAGATCGGTTCGGATTTGGATATATCTCCCATATATAACTTCGTCCGATTTACCTTTTCTTGTGCGCCAAACGTCTAATATTTGTCCAAATGGGATGAAATTTGGCACTTACGACCGAATTGAGTCTAGAAGCTAGTATGTCAAATTTGGTGAAGATTGGTTCAGATAAAGCTATAGCTCCCATATATATTGTTCATCCGATTTGTTATATTTGTTACCCACAGCCGTAATATGCACTCCGTAACAACGATATTCAGGGAAATATATGAAATACAGATCAGAAATATCTTTGCCAAATTTTATCAAGATCGGTTCAGATTTGGATATAGCTCCCATATATATATATATCAAATGGGCAATAAAAGTCCGAATTTAAAAGATACAAATGCTTCGGCGTATTTAGTCTTTTGAACTTTAAATTATAATTATAATCATAGCGTGTACGATTTAATGCTCCCATAAAAACTTTTAATTGATATGTGGAGCTCTACTAAATTGATAGGGTATCATAAAGTCGGCCCCGCCCGTTTTTAAGACTTTCTTTACTTGTTTTAAGATTGTAGCCAAACTGTTCAATATAACTATATGAAAATCCATACCAGAAGTACTTCACCCCCTGAAAGAAAATTTACTTTATGGGTCCATGGTATTGTATAACGGTAACGGCATACAACGGTTCGAACGGATATTCAGTATTTTGATGATTTTAGCAACATTATTCACCGGAATCGATTTAAATTTTGTATTTGAAGTTCGGAACGGTACTACATCCTATGCCTAAAAATTTCGTGGGCAGGTCCCCATATAACGGTGTTTCCCTTCATTCAGCATTTTGATATTTTTAGCTACTTATTTTGCCGGAATTATGAAAAAAAAAATTAAAATACTTATGCAGTTCCACGTCTTCGTATAGGCTCCATATCGTATTTTTTGAAATTTTTCAATTTCCTACCTAATGGTGGAGAATATTAAAAGTTCGTCGTGACCGAACTTATCTGCTTTCCTATTTTATTTAGCACGTATTCGAATATCTTATCAATGACATTTTTGAAAAGAGAAAAATCACCAAAAATAATCTTGATTTTTTTTTTTATCATTTTTGATTGACCCCCAGCTAAGTTATTGCGCATTGATTAAAATACAATTATAAAGAAATATATCAATTATAAGTGATTAAAATTATCCATGGGCGAGTTTAGATAAGTCTGCCTGGACAATGGCGAATACAGGGTTCGCCATTGACATTGCATTGAATTGAATGAATCGAAGAAAATCCACTCTCTCTCTCTCTAATCTCGCCCGCTCTAAGGCTATTTAATTCTGGTTTATAAAAAAAGCAAATAAAATTAAAATCTAATGGAGAATATTTAGAAATAAATTTCCCATAAATGTTGAAAAATATATAAATTTGAAGTAGGGGAATTTTTATTTTTGACGTATTTTATTGACGTCAATAATTGAATATTCATCCAGTGAAGTGTTTGTTTTCAACATTCATAACAGCGTTCCAGATACGAGCCCCTTTAGTAGCACGTGTACCCAAATTATGATTGCTATGCTCTCTCGAACGGACAAAGAGGGTGGTATTTTTTGAAAAAATATTAAAGAGTGAAGTTTTTAACAATATTTTTTTAAAAAAACATCTCTATAGTGTTTTTTTATGAAGGGTATCTTAATTTTGCATTCCATTTGTAACTCCTCGAAATACTTCTGTTAGAACCAATAAAGTATATACGTTACCTATGGAACAAATTGGAAATGAAGGTTAATTGTGCATTTTGTAAGTAGATATTTTGAGTTTGTAAATAGACCATGTAGGTCCACGTTTTCTTATAACCCCCTCACGATAATCGATATGTTGACGATTTATATCACATTTTACAACAGAATTGTCCTAGCCCCAGTGACGAGGTTTTGTCTATATAGGTCCACGTTTTTAATAGACCCCATATAACTGTACCTCCCAATATTCGGTATTTTGAAGATTTAGATGACATTTTCTAACCAAATTGTTAACAATTCTGGTTCTACCTCCTGTGGTGGAACAAATTCTATTTAGGTTCACGTTTTCTTATAGCCCCATCTAACTGTACCTACTGATAGTATTTCGATGATTTAAGTCATATTTTCAAGCGGAATTGTTTAATATTTGGTTCATAGAGTTTGCAACGGGTTCCACCGTTCACACATTTCCGAAAAGTACTAAAAGGTACTAAAAATTGAGTATTTTGTATTGGGCAAATGGAATGAGCTAGAATTTGAAATGAGAGTCACTGATGGTGTGTAGGAAAGATGTACCAAAGGATTTTTGGCAATTCGAACCTTAAGTTTACGAAAAGTTCCAAAATGGTACTAAAAATTCCAAATTGGTACTTCAAAAATGGTACCATTTGGTATTATGTGAACGGATTGTGGTAAAATCTTGAAATTTTGGTGTAATGGTAATCAATTCTTGGAAATGGGATTGATCTAAGGTGGTGGTTTTGGAAATGTCTACTATGTGTATGAACTGTACTAAATGGTACTAAATTTGGTACAATTTCTATTTGGGTGAACGAAAGAAGCTGGTAATTTGAAAAAAAAAATGGCATTGGGCCCTGTTAGTGATAGGTCTGTGATAAAGAGATGATTTTGGAAATATGTACTATGATTGTACAAAATGAACTAAAAAGTACTAAGTTTGGTACAATTTGGAATTGGGTGAACAGATAGTGATTGATCTTAAATTTACCATTAGGGTCGCTATTTATGTGTATCCTGGACATATGGAGGTGGTTTCGGAAATGTGTACTATAATTGTACGCAAAGTACCATACGGTTCTCTATTTGGTATTGGTTGAAGTGCTAGAGAAAAAATTCTGAAATTTAATATTTAATTTTTTGATGTTGAGATTTACTGTGTTTGAGATTTGGCGGTGGCATGGAAAGGCGTCCTATATTTGTATGGAAAGATACTAAATGGTACTAAATTTGGTATTGGATGAATTAATTGAGCTGAAATCATGAAATAAGGTGTCTGTTAGGTGGTACTGGAAATGTGTACTATAATTGTCCGAAAAGTTCTAAATGGTTCTAAATTTAGTATTGGGTGAAGGGGTAGATATGGAATCTTTAAATTTAATATTGATGTCTCTGTTGGTATCTGGAATTGTTGGTATTTGGAAAAGTACTAAATAGTACTAAATTTGGCACTGGATAAAATAATATAATTGAAATTCTGAAATTTTATATGGATGTCACTGTTGGTGTAGTCAAGGTATGGAGGAGATTTTGGAAATGTGTATGATAAATGTTCGAAATGTGTTAAGTGGTACTAAATTTGGTATTGGGTGAGGGGATCGAGCTGGAATCTTCAAATTTGATATTGAGGTCTCTGTGGGCCAACTGAAATTGAGATATGGAGGCGGTTTTGGAAATGTGCACTATAATTGTACGAAAAGTACTACACTGGTATTGGGTGAAAGGATAGAGCTAAAATAAATATGTTCTATAGTTGTTTTGAAAAGTACTACATTTGTTATTGGATGAGGGGGTCGAGCTGGAATCCTCAAATTTGATATTGAGGTCTCTCTTGGTGTTTGAGATTGAGATGTGGAAGGTGTTCTGGAAATGGGTACTATATTTGTTCGAAATGGTACTAAATGGTACTAAATTTGTTATTGGGTGAAGGGATAAAGCTGAAATTCCAAAATTTGATATTGAGGTCGCGGTTGGTTTCTAAAGTTTTCCCTATGGAGACATTAAAGTAGTTTTGGACAGAAAAACTGGATATAGGTCCATTGTGCTATGGTTTTATGGTTTTACTAATATCCTCCCCGCTAAACTTCAAAATGAAAAAAAAAAAAAACTTGAAGACTTTTTTGGTGTAAAAGGTAAACATTTTTCTATTTTCCTTTCTGAAAAAAGAAAATTTGAAAAATATAAAAAAGTTGTCAAACTGAGCACAGGGGCGTTTGGAATGAATCTAAAATTTTAAGGTGGTCTTTTCGTTGATGAAGTAATGGGCACTTGTTAGTAACCCATGTGGCGGTACCTCCGAATATTTAGTGATTTGGTGATCTTAGTCGCATTTTTTAAGCTCTTCATCATTCTATGGAGGGTATATTCACTTTGTCATTCCGTTTGTAACCCCTCGAAATGTTTATAATAGACTCTACAAAGTATATATATTCTGGATCAGCGTAAAATTCTTGCGATGTCCGCTTGTCTGTCTGTCTGTTGTAATCACGCTATCTTTCGAACGAATTGAGGCTAAAATTTTGCATACATGCATAGTTTACCAGTAGGCAGTTCAAGTTCGACAGTATTTACCGGAATTATTTCAAATTTCATATTTAATACATCTTTTGACAAATATTTTTGTATGCAGGTTCACGTCTTCGTATAGCCTCCCGATATTCGGTATTTTCATGATTTTAGCGACATTATTCACCGGAATTGTATCAAATTTGGTATTTGAAGTTTGCTACGTCTTCCAGTTTTTTTTTTTTTAAATTTTCTAGTTCCTTCCAAATGGTGGAGGGTATTAAAAGTTCGGCCCGTTCGAACTTAGCTGCTTTTTTATTTGTTTAATTTGGCATTTGAAAGGCATCATGAACTTTAGGGCATTTTGAAGAATTATTACCAACCGATTTCACTGGTTAAAAATGGAAGTGGATCTAATATTTAATTTCGATTTTTTTTATTTTTACAGGCTTTTTTACCTCATATTGGAGGGTTTCAAAAGTTCGGCCCGGCCGAACTTAACACTTTTTTGTTTTTTTTTTCTATTTAATATATAGGGGACTTTTTAAAAATACTTTTTTTTTAAGAATCAATATTTGTAATTTTTTTAAAATCTATTTTTTTTCTAAATACTGAATATCCCATATGCCTCCCTCAAAATTCTCTTATGTCTTCTCATGACTTAAAGAGAATTAAAAAAGAGTTAAGCGTAACTAGAAAACTGACCTACCACACAACAAATTGAGATCTTTGTTATTGGCTATTGAATTTGCGCACCGGTATTAGCAAAAAATCTACAACAACAATTATAAATTAGTTAAACACGCATTCGCCTAACAAAACTAAATTTAGATCTACTGTCGCAATAGCCAAAATGTGTGACTAGCACCACACTATTTAGCGTCATTCCAAAAATAGATATGATCTGAAATGTGCGGACCCAGAAACCGGATCTCTTTTTTTCCATTGAAACGAAATGAAACTCCATACAGCGATGGAACGTGATTGTCGTTTTAATAGATGTTGACATCATGCCAAACGTAATGGCGTTTAGAGTGATATATAGAAAAACATAACAAAAACAAAAACAAACAACCAATGACCGATCGAATAATCCGACCTTTAATCGCAACAATGTTTTCGGCCACAACCATCTTCCACTTCGGGAGGAGATAGATGGCGCTTAGTCGCTAACGCTAATCTGTTTATCGCATATAAATTAGGCTAACATTTAATTATGTTAATTAGATGAATTGTTAATTGCTGTTATGTTCTGTTTCGTTTTGTTTTTGTTTTTAACGGGCAATTAATTAAATGTGTTAAAATTTCCATGGCATGGCAAATATAAATCATTTCACAGCATGTTGGCATATTTGTTGTTTTTAATAACCCATAAATGATTGTTGTTATTGTTTTTTGTTTAAATATTTTGTTTTCTTCTTTTTGCAGGTTTTCAACTTTCCCCTTGGAGGACAATGATGCATTTATTTTTCAAATGTCTACTGGTTGCCCTAATACCCTTGGTTTTTACCGTTACTCAGGTTATAACATCTGCCCCAGCCTATCATCGCCATGTTGATGAAGGTTACAAGAACAGATTACCCCAGCCCAAGGTCTGTGCACCGTCTGCCGGCTGTATGATAGGCAAAATAATGCCCGGATATCGGATAGACAGTTTTGAGGCATTCATGGGAATTCCCTATGCCCTGCCGCCGGTTGGTGATTTGAGATTTAGTGTGAGTATCATTGTGAATTTATGCAAACCTATGGAAATAATTTTTCGATGATAAACAGGACTTTAGTCATGGAAGTTCAAGGACATTCAGTTTAAAAACCGTGACTTTTTAAATAAATATTTTTTAAAGACCATCAGAAAACGGGAATTTTTATAAATTTTATGTTTCAAAGACAATTAATCATACTGTGTCTAAAAATTGTTATTTCTTGGTCATAATGGGTTCTAGTTCCGGCGGGGAAACATTGTATGTATAGGTCCACATTGTATGTAACTGTACCTACCGATATTTGGTATTTTGATGATTCTTGCCACATTTTCCCACGAATATGTCTAAAAATTGGTATTTGTGGGTCATAATGGGTTGTAATGTTTCCTTTACCCTAAGGTGGAAGTTATTAAAAGTTCGGCCCGGCCAAACTTAATGTTTTTTTACTTGTTATAAACGTTTGTTACTTCGTCAGCGAAAACTCTGCCCTAAAATTTTAGATTCGTTCTCATAAAAAGAACTTCAATAAAACTTCCTAACTTTGAACTTCATAAAAAGTAATAAATTTTCAGATTTTCAAATTTTTTAAAATTCTTAAAAATCATTCACCATGGAGGATATTAGCAAAACCATTGCACAATTGACCAGCTTCCAAATTTCCTGTCCAAAACTATTTCCACGTCTCTATATGTGAGCCCTAGAGACCAACATTGACCTCAATATCAAATTTAAGCTCTATCCCTAAACCCAATACCAAATTTAATAACATTTAGTACGCATATCCAAAACAATATACACCTCCTCATTCCAGACACCAACACCAAAATTAGTACTACTTTGTGTATTTCGTACAAATGTAGTACACACAAAAAACCCCTCCAAATCTCAATTCCAGATACAAACATAGACCTTAATATTAAATTTGAAAATTCCAGTCCTATCCCTTCACCAAATACTAAATTTAGTACGTTTCGTACACATTTCCAACGCCATATTTCAAACACAATCATTAATCTATCTTAATATCAAATTTCTGAATTTTTTCTCTCAATACCAAATTTAGTACCATTTAGTACTTTTCGTATAATTATAGTACACATATCCAAAAACACCTCCATATCTCAATTCCAGATACTAACAGAGACCTCAACATCAAATTTGAGGATTCCAGTCCACACAATACCATATAAAGTGCATTTTAGTACTTTTCGTACAATTATAGAACATATTTCAAAAACCACCTCCATATCTCAATTCCAGATAGCAACAGCGATCTCAATATCAAATTTCGGGATTCCAGCCCTATTCCTTCACCACATACCAAATCTAGTACCATTTAGTACTGTTCGTAGAAATATAGTACGCATTTCCATACGACCGCCAACATTTCAAAGACAATCAGAAATCTCAATATATTTTTTCTCCATCTCTTCGCCCAATATTAAATTTAGTACCATTTAACATTTATCGTACAAATACGGTACACATTCCCAAAATAACCTCCATATATCCAAACAACACATGGACAGCGACCCTAATACAAAATTTCAGAATTCCAGCACTATCTCTTCACCCAATACCAAATTGTAATAAAAATAGTACTATATAGAACTTTGCGTGCACTTGAAGTACACATTTCCAAAACCACCTCTTTATCACAAACCTACCACCAACAGGGACCTCAATACAAAATTTCAAAATTCCAGCTTCATTGATTTAGCCTAACCCAAACTATTTTACTACAACTATTTGGTACCATTTCGTACAGTTTGCACATTTAGTGCACATTTTGATTTTGGAAATCACCTTCTTTTATAAACTTTCCAACCTTGATTCTCATACCAAATTCCATGTTCTTAGCTCTCCTAATACCAAATGGTATCATTTTAGTGGTTTAATACCATTTTAGAACTTTTCGTAACCTTGAAGTTCAAATTATTAAAAACCCTTTGAACTTCTTAAATATATTTTAAAAATGAATCTTCTTGATATTCTCTCACAGTATTTCAATTTTGTTTTCAAATACGGAACGTTTTAATTTTTTTTACTATTAACTTGTTTAATATAGGATAGTCTCAATAGGTCTCCAGGCCTTCTATAGATGCGTCTTTCTTAAATGAATCCGTACCCTTATTCGACGTTTTATTTTCTTTCCTTATTTCAGCATCCAAAGGCCTATCCTCCAACACGGGATTTGATTAATGCCACTGAGCCCAAATCCGATTGCATACAGAAGAATGATTTAATACCAAATCCACAATCGAGTGGTTCAGAGGACTGCCTCTATCTGAATGTCTACAGGCCAATTGTGAGTTATTTTCACTTGTCATCCAAAAAAGATGACCATTCTTAATACAAATTTTCCCCCCATTCCCGCAGAAAAGCAACGAAAATCACACCAAGCTACCCGTCATGGTGTACATCCATCAGGGCGGTTGGTTTGCCGGTTCGGTGCATCCAGCAATTGTGGGTCCCGAATACTTCATGGATACGGAAGATGTTATTTTGGTAACATTTAATTATCGCCTGGGTGTATTTGGTTTTCTGTCCACCGAGGATGCAATTGTGCCGGGTAATTTCGGTCTCAAAGATCAGACACTGGCTCTGAAGTGGGTGCAAAAGAACATAGCGGCCTTTGGTGGTAACCCCCAAAAGGTAACCCTGTTTGGACAAAGTGCTGGTGGGGTATCGGCCCATATGCATATGTTGAGTAAACATTCAGAAGGACTATTTCAGGCGGTAATTGCCTTGAGTGGCACCGCCAATGTTCCCTTTGCGCTGCAGCCAAATGCTTTGGAACTGGCCCGCCTAACAGCACGGCATTGTAATGTGACAAATGCCCACGAATTGAGTACAGCAAAACTGTTGAAAGCTCTGAGAGCTGTAGATGCTGAAACGCTGTTGCGTGCCGCTGATGCCATTAAATATTGGGATGTGGATCCATTGACTTTGTATCGACCAGTTGTGGAGAATTTCGATTCTCCAGATGCTTTCTTTACTGAGAATCCGGTTGATATATTCGAGAGAGGTGATTATAAGGCTGTGCCATTTATGACGGGTGTGGTGCCAGGGGAAGGTGCCGTACGTGCTGTTGCCATACTCGAATCGGAGGAGCTGAGAAAAACATTCAATGACAATTTTGATTACCTTTTGGAGGAATTTTTAGAATTACCACCGGAGTTTGACGATGAACGTGTGAAATTTTCAATGGAGAGCATCATCAGGGAGTATTTCGATGGGCAGCATGAATTGACACCTCAGGGATTTGTTGATGTAAGTATTGAATTGTTTTTTTTTTCGAAAGTAAACAAATAATGAATGGCTACGGATAGAGTTGTGCCAATCAAGTTCGATTGAACGCATAAGTTCCACTTCCAGTTCCGTTTGTTTGAAAACTCTGCGTATGAGTAATATAAAATTTATGAAATCACTCATACGTCTGGTAACTGGTGTACTGAACTATGAACAACATTGACACAACTCTAGATGCGGGATATAATTCGTTGAAATAAAGGTTTATCATGGCGTATAAGTAATGTATCGAATTTGGCGATGCGTAAAGTATACGTCACAAAAGACCCAAATTCACAGTCTAAAATCAATACGTTATTGTCTGGTTATTTTAAGGTGGGCACGTATACGCCAGATATTTCATATTGTCTGAACCATTAAGAGAAGCAGAGCGGAGGAGGATTTTTTTTTGAAATCTTCGAGTTCTCTTTGGTTTGTAGACGATTTAGCGATATCTCATAAAAAACATATGGAATACACCCAGACGTTATTTAAAGGCATAAAGCCTTCAAGACGAAGACATATCTGAGATTTTTAAATATAACTTTTTATGGAAATTAGGAACTATATTTAAATATTATTTTTCATGACCGGTCAGAGTTTTGAACGTGGATTTTTTAAATATTCATTTTAAGGACTCTTAGAGCCAAAGCATAGATTCTTAAATATTATTGTTCAAAGATTATCAGAGAGTTTTGCAAGTGTTATTAGAGCCAAAAACGAGAACTTTTTGAATATAATTTTTTTCAAGGACTTTTAGGGTTTTATTATTTTTTTTCGAACTTTTAGAGCACAAGACGTGGATTTTCAAATATTATTGTACAAAGACATTGCAGGCCCTCCCGACAACGTCGGTGGTATATAGACTAAATTTGTATGTATGTACTCATCGTCACTATAAAAATGAATGAAAAAATTCAAATTAAGGTATAGTTTTTTCTTTAATATTTTTATAAAAATTAAAAAAATGCAGTATTTTTATAATATTTTTTCCAAAGTTTTTCTTTTTTAATTCCTGAAATTGATTAAAAAAATTCACGATTTTAAAGACCATCTTTTAAAAGTTTTCTTTTTTTATTAGAAAAATTATTAGAAGACTTATAAAAAGTATATTTGTGTATATTTAATAACTAATTTCAGAGACATACTCGTGGACTTTTATGATTTAGTTTTGTTTAATTTCGAAATTTTGAGCAAATCTCCTGTTAGAGATAGAGAAAATATTTCTCGTATTTTTTTCTGCAATATTGCCTAAGACACTGTAGACCGGGCGGTACGAACTTTAAATAAAATACTGTTAAAAATCAATCATCAAATGCCGAATATAGAGCGTTACCGTTATATACGGGTTTATGCGAAGACCTGGGTCTGCATAGGCATTTCTCTGTCATAGACTGTAGTACCCATTAGAAACTTCAAATACGAAATTTGAAACAATTCCGATAAATAATATCACTAAGATATTCCAAATACCGAATATACAGGGTGAGTAAAAAAACTGCAACAAAGTCAAAAGCCATAATTTTTACATTTTTTTTTAAATTTTATTGAATGAAAGCAAAAAATATCGGAAATATCATCAAATTATAGAATAAATTTAGATTTATTCGAATTGGTCACCTTTGGCACGAATTATGGCCTTCCAACGAATGAAACCAATGAAACCGTCACACGCTGCCCGAATGTTGCTCTGCGGTATTTGGAACCATTCCCGGTGAAGCGCTTGCTTAAGGTGATCGACACTTTGGTATTTTTTAGTGGCAGCCTTGCTTTTCAAAATACTCCAGACACAATAGTCTAACGGATTGGTATCCGGAGATTTTGGTGGTCATTGTGCGCTGGAAATGAAGCGAGGAACCTCATTTTGTAACCATTCTCTATTGGAATGTCCAAAGTCTGCGGCCAAAATGTTCGCCGCACCCTTCAGAAAATTTTCGCGATAATATTTGGAATTTATTCTGATGCCACGGTCGATTAATACGAGTGGAGAGCGACTATCGGCTGTTATGGTGGCCAACCGAACGTGCACATTTAAAGCTGACCTCTTTGGCAAGTAAACACGATCATTTTGTTTGTTTACAAACTGCTGGACAACGAATGTTTTCTCATCGGAGAAAACCAAATTCGGCAGTTCTCAACTTTCGGTCAAGCGAAGCAACTCTTTAGCTATTTTGAGTTTATTTTCTTGCACTTTTTGGAATTTTATTGGCTTTATCTCGAGCTCATTTTTCAACATTTGCCGAATGCAATATTTTTCGGCCACTGGAACGTGGTTTTCGATCAAGTCGCTTCTTTACTTTTCGAATAATTTCTGCTGATGTTGCTGCTTTCTTCCGTCCACTTCCTTGACGTCGGTCTACGTCGGTCACGGTAACGAGCGATGGTACGAGACACAAAAGATTTATTCACATTTGGAGTGCTCACACTATCACGCTTGAATTCCGTCAAGAATAATCTTTTGCCTGGAAATTCTCACCAAAATGCTTTTGTATGATTGTAAAGAATATAATGAGCTGTCACTGTAATAATTTTAACATATGTCGGATGAGTGGCATAGAAATGACAGCAGTCTGAAGTTGGTTGCAGTTTTTTCAACTACCGTTAGCCGCCCATACGAAGACATGGACAAGCATACTCAGTTTTCTGTCGCAGACTGTAGTACCTGTTACGAACTTCACATACGAAATTTTAAACAATTCCGTGAATAATGTCGCTAAATCATCAAAATACCGAAAAAAGGGAGGTACTGTTTATGGTGGCTATACCAAAACGTGGACTTATATAGCCCATATTCAATACCAAAATTCTTCCAGAACAAACACACATCTGATTAAAATTTTATCAACCTACTTCAATTCGTTAGGAAGCTAGAGTGACTAAATAGAATTTTATGCTTTAAAAGAATTTTATGCCGATCAAGAATATATATACTTTGTGGGGTCGAAAATGTATATTTCGTGGTGTTACAAACGGAATGACAAACTTAATATACCCTCCATACTATGGTGGAAGGTAAAAAACACACATTATTTTTAAATTAACCCCATTTTCATTTAAAACATTTTCTCGTCACGTGCGCTGAGTCTTAATGAATTATTAGCCTAAAAGTATGCAATACTTTTTGCAATAGTAAAAGCAGTTTTCATTGATATTAAAATATATTCGATTATCTTGGAGAATATTACAATATTAACAATTTAAAGACAATTACTAGTATTTTTTATAGAGTTTAAGACAAAATGAAGTCTGGGAGGTATTTTCTATAACGTATAAAATTATATTTAATTAAAAATGTCCATATTTTATGCAAAAACATTCAAGGATATTACTCATTTATTGTATATTGTATTAATGAAAAAAATGTAAATAATAAAAATTTGTATTAATTGTTACAGGTTGTTACTGATCGTGGTTTCCATCATCCGTTCTATACTACCATTGAGACCTATATTCGTACTGTCAACACTGCCAAGGCCCCGCTGTTTCTCTACTACTTCAATTATAAAGGACCCCATTCGTTTAGTACCATCTATTCGGGCGGTGTGACCACCTACGATTATGGCGTTGTCCATTGCGATGATTTGATATATTTATTTCGGTCGCCCCTGCTCTTTCCCGATTTCGAGAAGAATTCCACACATGCCCAAGTCAGCAAGGATTTTGTAAGACATTTCGTGGAATTCGCCAAAAATCTGTAGGTTTTGCTAAAAATAAATAAATAAGAATTTAATTTTTTATGAATTATTTTTTGCATTTCCAGTAAACCTTACCCCTCCATGGGATGCAGTGCAAAGACATATCCTTACGATTCGAATGATTCCATTTGTGATTATGTTTTATTTGAAAATGCTGGAAATGATTCCTATCGCGTTAGCTTGGAGCAAAAATTCAATATACCTCGAATGCAGTTTTGGGATGACATAATAAGGGATAAATGTTGAAGTGATGGAGGAGGACGAAGTCAAGCAGGTGTTCAATAGCTAAGGCACCAAAATGGAAACTCCTATGGAAACAAATCTCTTTCCTTTCAACTTATGGTCTTGGATCAATACGACACAATAGATATTGAAACCAAAAAAAAAAAAAGTATGCCAAAATTTGGTAGTTTGTTGTTAACTTCTTTTTGTTTTTTTTTTTTTTTTTGTAATTTTAGTAGAAATATATAATATTTTTATATATTTATTTAGAAGATTTTTTATACTTAATTTAACTAAAATAGTTAATCTTATGAATAATTACGAATGTATGTATTAGTTTTTAAACGCGCACACACACACAAACATAGACATCTTCTCACACACAAAATATTTGCTAAGTTTTATAAGTCCATTAATAAAATTGCATGGAATGGTTTTTTTGAGGCATTTTCCCAAAATGCTTCATTCAATATCCATTTCATCCAAACGTGATCGAACACGATTCTTTCTCTTATTCTTCTTGGTGGGTGGTGGCAAGAAATTCTCCAAGAATTCAATGGTGTTACGTATAGTCTCGGCACTGATATTGCCTATGTGGTCGCGATCGAAATAGACAACGGGCACCGGAGCTTCAGTGGACACGAGATTGGCACACTGGCAGCGTTGCGGTGAAACGGTAATCACTTCCAAGTTGACCGGGGTGGTGGTGGGTGCTGAAATTGAAAATAAAAATGCATTAACATTTTTAAATAATTTTTGTAATTTTTTTTTTAATATTTTTCAAATAATTTATTTAATTCGCAGTGAATTAATATTACTTTGCAGGGCCAATTAAGCCTTAACAATTAATTGTTGGGTTTTAATATATTTTTTAAACACTATTAGAAATACAACTTCGGACTTTTAACAATATTCTGACAGACTTTTAAGCTTATAGTTTTTTGAATAACTTTCAGAATTGTAATCATGGATTTTTTAATAACATCTCTTTGAAAATTAAAAAGGCAACAATCTAAATAAAAAACAAGTAAAAAAGCAGTAAGTTCGGCCGGGCCGAACTTTGAATACCCTCCACCATTTGGAACGAATTAGAAAATTTTCAAAAAAATAAAATCCAATAAAAATTCTTTTAAAATCTTTAAAATATCTAATATAGGAAGGTGCCGAAATATGGGGGATATACGATATTGTGGACCTATAAAGACAAATCTATGTCTGCGTGTAAAGTACCACACACGGAGGATTTTCAGACAATACGATTGGAAAATGTGGCTAAAATCATCAAAATACCGAATATCGCGGGGTACCGTTATATGGGAGCTATACGTTATCGTTAACCTATATAGAGAATTCCCTGTCGGTGGGTAAAGTGCTCACAAAGGACCCCTTGTGTACAAAGGACCCCTTGTGACCATTCCGTTGAAAAATATGGCTAAAAACATCAAAATACCGAATATCGGGGGTACCGTTATATGAGGGCTATACAATATCGTGGATCTATATCGATAATTCTCTGCCGAGGTATAAAGTACCCACAAGGAACTCCTTGTGTGAATTTTCAGACAATTCCGATGAAAAATGTGGGTTAAATCATAAAATACCGAATATCGGGAGGTACCGTTATATGGGGGATATACGATACCGTGGACCTGTATAGACAATTCTCTCTCAGGGGTGAAGTACTCACAAGGAACTACTTGTGTTGATTTTAAGACAATTCCAATGAAAAACGTGGCTAACATCATCAAAATACCGAATATCGGAGGTTACAGTTATATGGGGGATATACGATATCGTGGACCTATATAGACACTTCATTTTGAGGAGGTAAAATGCACACAAGGGACTCCTTTTGTGGATTTTCACACAATTCCGTTGAAAAATGTGGGTAAAATCATCAAAATACCAAATATCGGGGGGGGGGGGGGTACCGTTATATGGGGGCTATACGATATTGTTGACCTATATAGATAATTCTCTGCCGAGGTATAAAGTACGCACAAGGAACTCATTGTGTGGATTTTCAGACAATTCCGTTGAAAAATGTGGGTAAAATCATCGATATACCGAATATCGGGGGGTACCGTTATATGGGGGCTATACGATATTGTGGACCTACAAGGAACTCCTTGTGTGGATTTTCAGACAATTCCGATCAAAAATGAGGGTAAAATCTTCAAAATACCGAATATCGGGGGGTACCGTTATATGGGGGCTATACGATATCGTGGACGTATATGGACAATTCTCTGCCGAGGTATAAAGTACCCACAAGGAACTCCTTGTGTGGACTTTGCCCTTCTGAGCCCAACCTTATATAATATCCCCAACCTGTGTTGTAAGGTGAAAAAATATTACAGAACATTATAAGTCAAATTGAAAAAATCGCATGCGATAAAAGATATGAAAAAATACAAAATGTCACAAAATACTACAAAATCTATATTAACATCATTATTGGCATATTTTTCTGCGATTTTTTTAGATTTTATACTTTTATGCCAAAAGGGCATTCTGAATTGACCAAATTTGTCAAAATCGGCCATTCTTTAAGTAGAAGCATTCTAACTAATATCCCTTTCATTTGTATATTCACATAGTATATATTTCGCTATATATAACCGATATATTTACTATCGGCATCTACGTAACGATCAGAATTTTCCTGTTCGTCTATTTGTAATTTCGCCGGGATTAAAAATATTCGCGGTTTAATGGAAAATTTGACTTTTATTTAACACAAATGTTGTGGCCTATTTCACCCAATAAATATTACCCGATGACCATCAAAATTGGAAGGCTTTTGCCCAGCCCTAAGCTCTAGTCCCATGCTAACTTTCGCTTTGATTGGTCTATAATTGCGACCTGTAGAGCAACTGCAAAATCAGGATTTTTTTCAGTTTTGCGATCATCTCCAAAATAAATAGGGTTCTATTTTGACCCTAGCAACACCTCCATTTTAAATTTCGTGAAGTTCGGGCCATAATTGCGACCTGTAGAGGGATTACAAATTAACATGGACAGACGGACGGACGGAAATACATAGCTAGATCGACTCAGCTCCGCGAGATAGTAAGATCCATATATACTTTCCTATGTGTGGAAACGAATATTTCGTGGTGTTACATAATTTTTGGCCCAATCAAACTTACAATACCCCCAACACATAGTGTTGTAGGGTATAAAAATTGTTTTCTAAGGGGCTAACTGTTTGGAAAATGGGGATTTTTTAAATGAATATTAAAAGGTTTTTATGTCCTGTAAATTGGAAATTTCACTAATAATTATTATAGGACTTTCAGATCATTTGAAAAATTTGTAAAGATTTTTAAAGAATTTGTAGATCAATAATCGCAAATATTTGAAAATTATCAAGAATGAAAATTGTGGTGATTCATGATTTTTTAAGGATTTTTTAAAAGCTAAAATTTTTAAGATTTTTTTTAATGGCTTTCAGAGCTTTTATTATAGATTCTAAGTTCTTTGGTGGGCGTTCGTTTTGTAGATGTGTCTTCTTGTTTATTTAAGAATCTCTCTTCTTTAAATGTGGACTTTTTAAATGACTCTGAAGCACTTTAAGTATTCTAACTTATACTATAACACAACACCGATTGTAACACACACACATACACACATAAATGTTCTTTTCTACTTACAAAATATTGGACGAAAACACTCTTTAATTTGTATCCATTTCTGACAGAACTGTTTAATCGAACTATCATTCTGATTGAAAAATGTCCTGGCAGCGGCATTAACCTGCGTTTGCATAAATGGCGGTATAAACGGCCACTTGCCTTTGGCAGCAAAAAAGCAAATTATATCTATATACGAGTATACGAAGATAATTGAAAAGATGGAAATCCAAATGCTTTGCTTCCACATCCACTTACAGGGAATATTGAAAATCTTCAAAAAACCTTTGTGCTGGTCGACACGTTTGAGGGCATAGATGTTACGACTCTCCTCCGACGGTCTGCGGAGGGCGCTCTGACTTCGGTTGCGGCTGTGATGCATGGTCAGGGCAAAGGGTATCTCTTCGATGCGTACACTGTTCATATAGGCCTCCGTGTAGAGCAGTTCATCCACGACGGCCAGTACATAGAATGGGACTATAAGCCATAGGAGTTTTGTTTTTAAAAACATTTTGGTATGAGAAGGAATTTCAGCAATCCGATGCAAAATTTTAAAAATTCTTCTAAACAGGTTAAGGACTTCGAATGAACTAAACGTTGAATTTTTCATTTCGTTTTCATCAGCCATGTTTCCTGTGGGTTAGCGAATATTCCACGGGATTCCATGTCAGGGAGTTTATGTGCAAGTGCACGCAAGCATACCTGTATGTTATCGGGAATATATGTAATACACATTTGACATTACAACATATTAGGGAGAATGCATAGGCAGGAACGTAGAGTAAGAATGTTTTTGAAAAACATTATTTGGAAATTTACATTCAAATAAAAAATTCAATTGAGAAAGTTTGAATTCAAATCAAAATAGTAATTGTAGTAATAGTAATAATAATAATAATAATATAATAATAATAATAATAATAATAATAATAATAATAATAATAATAATAATAATAATAATAATAATAATAATAATAATAATAATAATAATAATAATAATAATAATAATAATAATAATAATAATAATAATAATAATAATACTAATAATAATAATAATAATAATAATAATAATAATAATAATAATAATAATAATAATAATAATAATAATAATAATAATAATAATAATAATAATAATCATAATAATAATAATAATAATAATAATAATAATAATAATAATATAATAATAATAATAATAATAATAATAATAATAATAATAATAATAATAATAATAATAATAATAATAATAATAATAATAATATAATAATAATAATAATAATAATAATAATAATAATAATAATAATAATAATAATAATAATAAAATAATAATAATAATAATAATAATAATAATAATAATAATAATAATAATAATAATAATATAATAATAATAATAATAATATAATAATAATAATAATAATAATAATAATAATAATAATAATAATAATAATAATAATATAATAATAATAATAATAATAATAATAATAATAATAATAATAATAATAATAATAATAATAATAATAATAATAATAATAATAACAATAATAATAATAATAATAATAATAATAATAATAATAATAATAATAATAATAATAATAATAATAATATAATAATAATAATATAATAATAATAATAATAATAATAATAATAATAATAATAATACATAATAATAATAATAATAATAATAATAATAATAATAATAATAATAATAATAATAATAATAATAACAATAATTATAATAATAATAATAATAATAATAATAATAATAATAATAATAATAATAATAATAATAATAATACTAATAATAATAATAATAATAATAATAATAATAATAATAATAATAATAATAATAATAATAATAATAATAATAATAATAACAAGAAAACAAGTAAAAAAGCTGTAAGTTCGGCCGGGTCGAACTTTGTATACCCTCCACCATTTAGTACAAATTTGGCAATTTTCAAAAAAAAAAAAATAAAATCCGTTAAAAATTCTGTTGAAATTTTAAAAACACCGAATGTAGCCGTATATTAGGTCCATACGACGACGTGGACCTGCATAAGCAACTTTGTCACAAGCTATTACAATATTTGAATGCGAAACTTAAAAAAAAATCTGTTTATAATGTAGCTAAAATCATCAAAATATAAGGAGGTACCATGGGGGTTATTAAACGTGGAGCTGCACAGACAATTTTCTGTCATAGGCTGTAGTATCCAATGCGAACTTCAAATACCAAATTTGAAACAATTCCGGTGAATAATGTCGCTAAAATCAATAAAATATCGAATATCGGGAGGAACCGTTATATGGGGGCTATACGAGGACGTGGATCTGTACAGATAATTTTCTGTTATAGGCTGTAGTATCCAATAGGAACTTCAAATACCAAATTTGAAACAATACCGATGAATAATGTCGCTAAAATCATCCAAATACCGAATATCGGGAGGTACCATTATATGGGGGTATACCAAGACGTGGACCTACATGGCCCATTTTCAATACCAAAAGTCCTGCAGACAATCAATCAATCTACTTCATTTCGCTCGGAAGCTAGAGTGATTTCCACAGACGGACGGACATCGCTAAATCGACATAGAATTTTATGCAGATCAAGAATATATACACTTTGTGAGGTCTAAAATGTATATTTCGAGGTGTTACAAACGGAATGACAAATTTAATATACCCTCCATACTATTGTGGAGGGTATGAAAATAATCATGTGAGCCCTTTTGTTAGAGCGCCATCTCCTGGAGAATAGTCAAACCTATCACATCTCAAATAATCTTTCTGTAGAGGCGGAAGATTCGGATGTTTCTGGTTTGAGGTTTTGCTAGAAAATGCGTTCATTTCGAAATTGTTGATGACATAGCCAATGTTGAAAGCAGTATTTTTACTAAAAGAAAATAATGCCAAGTTCGATATGCCTTTCCCCCTATTTATACAGATAATGAACTCGGAACTCAATTGGAAATTTCTTCTTCGATACGATAATACCATTCTTTGACTGATCTTGAGTAAACTGACCTCAAATGGCTTTTATGAAAAGTCAATTTTTAGAATATTCCATTTGATTTCTTTACTTTTTCATCGGATGGACATTTTCAAATACAATTTTCGAAGACTGAGAGATCTGAAAATGGGGACTTAAAAATTTATACAGTTTAAAGGATTTCCAGAGCTACATTCGCCAATTCTTAGCAACATATCATAAGAAGAACTGCTTTTCGAAAAAGGACTAGTGAAATAATTGACTGACTGAGAATCAACGCCCAGACAAAACGGTTGAAGCTAGGATCTTTAAATTTTGTAAGGTGTCAGTCCTAGGGCGTAGCATAGGGTTTTTTTTTAAATTCCTACTAAAAGTGTACAAAAAGTACTAAAAAATTAATATTTTTTGAAAATTTGTACCAAGTGTGCGAACTGTACCAAATGGTACTAACTTTGGAACAGTTTGGTTTATGCTAAACGGATGATGCTGGAATTTTAAAATATTGTATTGAGTTCACTGTTGGTGACAGGTTTGTGACAAAGAGGAGTTTTTGGAAATGTTTACTACAAATGCACGAATAGTACTAAATAGTACTATATTTAGTACAATTTCTTATTGGGAGAATAGATAGAGCTTGACATCTGAAATTTGGCATTAGGGTCGCTGTTCATATGTAGCCTGGACATATGAAGGTGATTTTGGAAATTCCTATTATAAAGTAAATACTACATTTTACTAAACTTGTTATTTGGTAAGGGATTAATTTGGAAGTCTACAATTTTGCATTAGGTTCACCTTTTCTGCAGATTTGGTTGGTACATGTCGGGGATTTGGAAATACGTACTAAAAAGTACGAAAAGTTCTAAATAGTACTAACTTTGGTATTTGGGTTGTATAGGATAAACAAACTAAAGGATTTTCGCATTTCTAACAATACGTGTACCAAAAGTACTAAAATGTACTAAATTTGATACAATTTGGATTTATATGAACGGACAGTGGTAGAATCTGGACATTTGAAGGGATAGGGGAAAAATCCGAAATTTGATATTTTTATACCCTCCAACATCCTTAAATAATCGTCGTAGACCCCATAAAGTATATATATTCATAATCAGCGTAAAATTCTAAGTAGATTTAACGTTGTCCGTCTGTCTGTTGAAATCACGATACAACCCACATTATTTGACGTAGAAATTTAGCAGAGCAATTTGTATTGTGTCTAGGATGGTTGGTATTGAAAATGAGATATATCGGTCCACGTTCTGGTATAGTCCCCATATAACGGTACCTTCCGATATTCGGTATTTTGATGATTTATGTCACATTTTTTCACGGATTTGTCTGAAAATTGGTATTTGTAGGTCATAACGGGTCCCTGTGCGTGTGGCAAAACATTGCATGTATAGGTCCACGTTATGGTATAGCCCCCATATAAAGCTACCTCCCGATATCCTGTATTTTAATTTTTTGCCACATTTTTTTCACTGATTTGTCTAAAAATTGGTATTTGTGGGTCATAATGGGTCCTAGTTCGTGTGGCGAAACATTGTATGTATAGGTCCACGTTTTGATATAGTCCCCATATAACGGTACCTCCCAATATTCGGTATTTTGATGATTTTTGACACATTTTTCAAGAATTTCTCTGAAAATTGGTAGTTGTAGATCATAATGGGTCCCAGTTCGTGTGGTCATTGTAATTATAGGTCCACGTTTTGGTATAGCCCCCATATAACGGTACCTTCCGATATTCGGTAATTTGATGATTTTTGCCATATTTCTTCACGGATTTGTCTGAAAATGGGTATTTGTAGGTCATAATATGTAGGTCCACGATTGTATGTAGGTCCACGATTTCGTATAGCCCCCATATAACGGTACCTCCCGATATTCCGCATTTTAATGGTTTTTGCCACATTTCTTCTAATGTTTCCTTTGCCCTAAGGTGGAGGGTATTAAAAGTTTGACCCGACCGAACTTAATGTTGTTTTACTTGTTGAATTTCTGTTAGTATCTGTATTTGAGATTTGGCGGAGGATTTGTAAATTTGTGCTTTAATTGTACGAAAAGTACTAAATGACATTAATTTGGTATTGGGTAAAGGAATTGAGCTGAAGTTCTGAAATTTGATTTTAAGGTATCTGTTGATATCTGGAATCGAGATTTGGAAGTGGTTCGTAAATGCGTGCTATATTTGTACAAAAAGTACTAAATAGTACTAAATTGGGTGTTGGGTGAAGGAATAGGACTGAAATTTGTTATCGTGACCTCTGTTGCTATCTGCGTTTGAGATTTGGCGGGGATTTGTAAATGAGTGCTATATTTACTAAGGCCACTGTTGGTATCTGGAATTGAGAAAAATAGTGATTAGGAAACACGTCCTATGTTTGTAAGAGAAGTACTAAATGGTGCCATATTCGGTATTGGATGAGGGGATAGGACTGGAATCCCGAAATTTGACACTGAGGTCTCTGTTGGTATTTGGGATTGAGATATGGAGGTGGTTTTGGAAATGTGTACTACAGGTGCAGTTGCACGAAAAGTGCTAAATAGTTCTATATTTGGTACAATTTCGTATTGGGTGCACAGATAGTGCTTGGGATCTAAAATCGCTATTCATGTGTAGACATATGGAGATGGTTTCGGAAATGTGTACTATAATTGTACGAAAAGTACTGAACGGTACTATATTTGGTATTGGGTGAAGGGATAAGGAATCCTTAAATTTGATATTGAGGTCTCTGTTGGCATCTGTGTTTGAGATTTGGCGGTGGTTTGTACGAAAACTACTAAATGATGCCATATTTGGTATAGAATATGAATCCTGAAATTTGATATAGATGTCACTGTTAGTGTCTGTGGTTAAAATATGACGGTGGTCTGGAAATGTGTACTATATTTGTTTGAAAAGTACTAAATAGTACTAAATTTGATATTACGTAAAGGAATACAGCTGAAATCCTGAAATTTAATACTGAGGTCTCTGTTAGTATCTGGGATGGAGATATGGAAGTATGTTTAGAAATGTGTACTACAGGTCCACGAAAATATTTCTATATTTGGTACTAAATAGTTCTATATTTTGTACAATTTTGTATTGGGTGAGAAGATAGTGTTTGAGATATGAAATTTGGTTTTTGGGGTTGCTGTTCATATGTAGGACACAATTATAGGACACATTTCCGAAACCACCTCCGGATGTCTAGTGGTTTCGGAAATGTGTCCTATTATTGTACGAAAAGTACTGAATGGTACCATATTTGGTGTTCGGTCAAGGGAATCCCCAAATTTGATATTGAGGTATTTATTGGTAACTGGTATTGAAATCTGGTGGTGGTTTTGCAAATGCGTACTATCATTGTTCGAAAAGTACTGAATGGTACTATTTATGTAACATTGTTGGTTCTAGGATTCTGAAATTTGATATTAAGGTCTCTCTTGGTGGTAGGTTTGTTATAAAGAGGGGTTTTGGAAATGTGTACTATGATTGTACGAAAAGTCCTGAATGGTACTAATTTTGGATATCTGTTTTTGTTTTATAGGGTTTACCTATGAAAATGTTGAATAATTTTGGACAGTTAAATCGAATCTGGGTTCATTGTGCAAAGGTTTATTAAGTTTAAAGTTTTTATTAAAGTTGTTGCAAAATGATCAGGCTTAATCCCTTTATTGTTGTTTTTATAAAAACAAAGTTTGTTTATTATTGGAGAACGATGGTAATGTTTACCAGGGGGTAAGGCAGGGAATACCTAGGTTTCAGAAAGAGATTGGTGGCTCTTTCCGAAACCTAGGAACGAATCTACAATTGTAAGGCGGACTTTCTGCTAACTTAGTTTTAAAATAACTATCTGAATTTTTTTTTTAAATATTAGAAAATATTGATCATAGCCATACATCCCCTCCCAAACGACTACCTCTGTTTGTTAGAAACATCTGGATTGTTATTAAATTGACATAATACATTAAGAGGACATTGAACTGTTTATGACATGTACGCCACATTGACATGACGTTAAATGCATGTCCACCCTCCAATAGCCGTTCATACATACTTACCCGTTTGCCCGTCAATCCAAATTTACGTCCTTCCAAAGCCCATAAAATAAAAGTTCGAAATGAAAATTTTAGAAATAAAAAAAGAGTTCAGTTGTTTTATTAAGTCGTGTTTTTTCAGTATTCTAACAAAAACATAAAATGGTGGTAATTGTGGTGGGGGGATTTCACTAAATGTATATATGACAAAAAAAAGGATAAATTAAAATATTTATGTATATATGTATGTTTCTATTATGTGTAGTAGTAGCAATTGTAGTAGTTTGGTTGGCTTGGCTTACTTTCCCTAACTTAAAGCTCCGTGATTATGGCTAAAAAACGAATTGTGTATAACTTATGGATTAGATAAGGCACCTTTGTGATTGGCTTTTCTTGGCTTACATTTGCATTTGTTGTATGTATTTTAAATTACTAAATAATACAATACAGACAAGTTGTTTTTAAATTAAACTTAATAATTAACTTATAATTATTATTTGTCATCTTCACCATCATCATTATTATTAATATTTATCACTAATTTATACAGGGTATCCTGTAGTGGGATTTTTTTAATTTTTTCGCTTTTTTTGGGACACCCTGTATATGTCTGGCACTTTGTTAACATAATACTAAACAAATTTAATTAATATATCTATGCAGAAATCAAAAGTGTCAGGAGTATTATTTTCTAAAAAATAATGTATTTCCCATTAAAAATTTACATCTAATCTATCAAAGCTTTAATAAAATTTTTTTTTTTGAAAACATTTTCCTGACACTCTATTTCGGCGAATAAAATCAAAAAATAAATAAAAAATAATTATCACTATACAACTACGACTATTTATAAATATTTGAGGCACTTTCCTATTCTTATCTAGTAGCTAAGCAGTTTGTGATTTTTTTTTGTGTCAACTCCTTTCTTAGGCGTATATAGGTGTGTGTGTATATGTATGTATTTGTATCCTTAGGCAGTATCACAGCACAACAGTTCATCGTTGTGATTACAATGGAATTCCATTTCCTTTTTGTTAATGGCATTTTTCGGCGATATCACCAGACTTTTTCGTTGCAGTGCGGCAGCACGCAATTTCTTGTTGCGTCGCTTACGCTTGCGATGTATGCAATACCAGACCACTGTGCAGAGGAGAAGAAAAAAAAGAAGAAGTCGATTATTAACACCTTTCGTTTTTTATTGTTTTTGTCAGTTTTTATTACTTACATAGAAGCACCACCAGAATGCCACCACAACAGCCGGCCACAAATATCCAAAGGTTACGAGCTTCCGCTTTGGCCACCGACGTCTTGCAAGTGTGAAAAGTTTCCGAATCTAGGGTAAAATTATATGGCAGTGGACAAATGGAGGGATCCAATGTTTCTACAATTAAAAAAGGGAGGGGGACAATGAAATTCTATGATTTATTCTTTTTTTAAATAAAAAAAAAATAATAAAAAATGAAACGGAAAAATACGCTGACTCCATTCTAAACAGATACCAAAGAGGAACATATAACAATTAAACAATTAAATAAAAAATCAAGAACAAATATTCCATACTGGCAAGTGTCCGCTACTACGTCAGCGAAAAGTCCGTCTTTTAGGCCAGTTTACAAAAATTTTTAATCAAAACTTCATACATGATACTTAGTTTTCAGATTTTCAAGTTTTTCCTTTTTCGAAAAGAATTATAGGAAAATGTTTAATTTTTACACCAAAAAGTCTTTAAAATATTTAATTTTGAAATTTACCGAAGTGGATATTAGTACAACTATTGGGCAGTGGATCAACATCCAATGTTTCTGTTCAAAACTATTTCAACGTCTCCATATGTAAACCCTAAAAACCAACAGAGACCTTAATATCAAATTTCAGAATCCCTTCATCCAAAACAATCTAAATATGTCCATCCTAGAAACCAACGGTGATCCAAAAGTCGTACAATTTAGTACTTTTCGAACAGTACACATTTGCAAAGCTACCACCAGATACCAACAGAGACCACAATATCAAATTTCGGGACTCAAGCTTTATACATTCACTTAATACCAAATTTAGTAACGCTTAGTACTTTTCGAACAATTATAGGACACCATTTCAAAACCACCTCCATATCTTTACCGCAGACTCCAACAGTGACATCTATATAAAATTCCAGGATTTCAACTCTATTCCTTCACCCTATACCAAATTTAGTACTTTTCGTACAATTACTGTACACATTTCCAAAACCACCTCAAAATCAAATTTAGTACCATTTCGTACATTCGTACAAATATAGGATACATTTTCAAACCACAGCTAAATCTCGAAAACAGATACTAACAGAGACCTCTATATCAAATGTTGGGATCACATCCAAGACCCAAGTCAGTACTATTTAGTGCATATCGTACACATTCCATATGTCAATTCCAGATACCAGCAGAGACCTCAATATCAAATTTGAAGATTCCAGTCCAATGCCAAATTTAGAACCACTTAATATAATTATAGTACGCATATCCACAGCCAACTCCTTATCTCAATTACAAACACAAACAATGACATCCATATCAAATTACAGGATTCCAGCCCTATCCTAAATTTAGTACCATTTGGTACTGTTCGCACAAATATATATATATATATATATATATATATATATATATATATATATATATATATATATATATATATATATATATATATATATATATATATATATATATATATATACGGATTTCCAACAACACCGCCAAATCTCAAATAGAGACACCATCAGTAATCTAAGTATTAAATTTCAGAATTTTATCTCTATCCCTTCATCCCATATCAAATATAGTACCATGCAGTACTTTTCGTACACTTATAGTATACTCTTCCGAAACCACCTGCATATGCCTAGGCTACACATAAACAGCGATCCTAATATCAAATTTAAGATTTCAAACACTCTCTGTTTACCTAATACCAAATTATATCAAATATAGTACTAATTAGTACTTTTCGTGCAATTGTAGTACATATTTCCAAAATTAAATTTTATTCTCAATCTTATACACTAACAGTGAACCTGTGCAGTTCTTACTCTTATTACACATTTCCAAAACGACCTTGTTGTAGCAACCCCATTTCCAAGAATTGATACTCATACCAAGTTTCATGATTTTACCACTATTCTTTCACATAATTCCTAATCGTACCGAATTCAGTACATTTTAGTACTTTTGTTACAGGTATTGTTAGAATTTGGAAAAAAAACCCTTAGTTTGTCTATCCTACATAACATGAAAGACTCTCATTCCAAATTTCAGATTTCTAGCTCTATTCCTTCCCCAAATACCAAAGTTAATACTATTTAGTACTTTTCGTACTTAACAGGGTGAGATGAAAGAAACTGCAACCAATTTCAGACTGCTGTCATTTCTAAGCCATAAATGAAACTTTTGTGTTTCGTTCCATCGCTCGTTACCGATGTTACGAGATACTGGTAGCGTAGCCCGAAGTCAAGACCGGAATGGATGGAAGAAAACAGCAACATCAGCAGAAATGGTTCGAAAAGTAAAGAAGCGACTTGATCGAAACCAGCGTCGCAGTGGCCGAAAAATGGCTCGTGATCTGAACATATCCCATTCGGCAAATATTGAAAAATGAGCTGGGGGTGAAGCCATTGAAATTCAAAAAAGTGCAAAAATTTACACCGCAACAGAAATAAAATAGACTCAAAAGAGGTAAAGAGTTGCTTCGCTTAGCCGAAAGTGGTGAACTGCCGAATTTGGTTTTCTTCGATGAGAAAACATTCGTTGTCCAGCAGTTTGTAAACAAACAAAATGCTCGTGTTTACTTGTCAAAGAGGTCAGCTGAAAATATGCACCTTCGGTTGGCCACCAGAACTCAAGCCCCGGCCATGGTGATGGTGTGGGCCTCCATAACAGCCGACGATCGCTCTCCGCTCGTATTAATTGACAGTGGCATCAGAATAAATGCCGAATATAATCGCGAAAATATTCTGGAGGGTGTATTAAAGCCTTGGGCACGCAAACATTTTGGCCGCAGACCTTGGGCATTCCAAAAAGCACCATCGCACTTAGCACGCGCCACCCAAGAATAGTTACAAAATGAGGTTCCTCGCTTCATTTCCAGCGCACAATTAGCACCAAAATTTTCGGATACCAATCCGTTGGACTATTATGTCTGGAGTATTTTGGATAGCAAGGTTGGCACTCAAAAATACCAAAGTGTCGATCACCTCAAGCAAGCGCTTCGCCGGGAATGGGCCAAAATACCGCAGTGCAACATTTAGGCAGCGTGTGACGGTGTCATTGGCCGTTTGAAGGCCATAATTCGTGCCAAAGGTGACCAATTGGAACAAATCTAAACTTATTCTAAAATTTGATGCTATTTCCGACATATTTTGCTTTCATTCTTTTGACTTTTCCGACTCTTGACTTTTCCTTACTGGTTATTATTATTATTATTATTATGATTATTTTTTTTACTAATTTTGGTAATTTTTTTTATTCGAAAATCTTGATTTTTTACAAAATCTTTTCTTCAACTCACCCACACAAACAGGTACAAATTTCGTTTTGACCGACAACGCCCTCAAATGATTATTGGCCTGTTGACACTGGCACTGATCCAATTGGGTCCGTGTCAGATCGATACTCTTTAAATTGCACATATTTGCAAAACGATCTATGCTGAGATCCATCAGGGGATTCATTGAGGCATTTATGTGCCATAGTTCTGCAAAAAAGGGGAACATAAATTAATAAATTACAATTGTAGATGATTTTTAATCGAACTTACTTGGTAGTATACCCAAATCGGGTATATCTTGCAGACCACAGTCGGCCACATTGAGATATTCCAGTGGCGCCTTTATCGGTCTGTCCAAGGCCTCAAGATCACGTTCCAAGTGGATCAATTCATTGCTGTCGATGTAGAGATTTCTCAGCGAAGGCAGCTGCAACAGTTCCAGGGGTATGGTCAATAGACCGTTATTTGATAAATCAATTTCCTGTAATTACAAAAACAAAAATGCAAAAAAAAACTAATTAGTTAATGTAACAATTTAGCATCGAGTTAATTGAGCGCAACATGTGAACTGTCTACAAAAGTCACTGATGATTGACAAGAAGTGTCATAATTAGTTTGAAGTAGCGTGCGAGCATCTTCCCCATCCAATGTGACAATTGCATGCAAATGTTCTCTACAACGGATTTGTTAATTATTTTTTTTTTGTGAATTTATTTTTCTCGCATTCAATTGTCTATTTTGTTTAATTAACCGTTACATTGATTTGTTAATTTACATTTCGCATTTGTTGTTCAAATTTTGTTGGAGATAATATCGCTTACCTGCAGTGATGTGAGATGGGAAAATGTACCCGGTTCCACCGATTGTATCATGTTGTCATACAACAATAAATATTTAATATTTTTGTAGGGTTGAAATGAGCTGCGCTTTAGCTTCTTGATGCGATTGTAGGATAAGTCCAAGACCTGGAAGAAAATAGAAAAATGTTTTTTTATTATTAAAATTTAGAAAATTAAAAAAAATAAATAATTTCAAATTAAATAACGAAGTATAAAATATCTGAACTGAAGACAAAAAAGTTTATTGACCTTTAGTTGAAAAATATCAAACATTCGAAATGCAAAAAATTGAGTGTAAGAAAAAACATATAAATATTTATATTTTTAATAAAAAAACAACTAAAACCAGTAAAGAAAGTCTTAAAGTCGGGCTAGGCCGACTTTATGATACCCTACACCACTTTGCTAATTTAGTAGAGCTCCACATAACAATTAAAAGTTTTTATGGGATAATTTAATCATACACGCTATGATTATAATTATAATTTAAAGTTCAAAGGACTAAATATGCCGAAGCATTTGTATCTTTTAAATTCGGAATTGTATTGCCCATTTGGTGCACAATTATTTTGAAATCGGATAAAGATATATATGGGAGCTATATCCAAATCTGAACCGATCTCGATAAAATTTGGCAAAGACATATCTGAGCTGTATTTGATATATGTCCCTGAATATCGTTGTTACGGAGTGCATATTAAGGTTGTGGGTAACAAATATAACAAATCGGATGAATAATATATATGGAAGCTATAGCTATATCTGAACCGATCTTCACCAAATTTGACATACTAGCTTCTAGACTCAATTCGGTCGTAAGTGCCAAATTCCATCCCATTTGGACAAATATTAGACGTTTGGTGCACAATCAAAGGTAAATCGGACGAAGTTATATATGGGAGCTATATCCAAATCTGAACCGATCTCGATACAATTTAGCAAATGTATTTCTGAGCTGTATTTGATATATTTCTCCAAATATTGTTGTTACAGAGTGCATATTACGGCGGCGGTGGACAAAAATAACAAATCGGATGAACAATATATATGGGAGCTATAGCTATATCTAAATCGATTTCGATCAAATTTGGCATACATATTTTCAGGCCTAATTTGGGTGTATATGCAAAATTCCATACAATTCGGGATGATATTACACGTTTGGTGCACAATAAAAAGCAAATCGGACAAAGATATATATGGGAGCTATATCTAAATTTTTACCGATTATCTCCAATTTCAATAGGGTTCGTCCTTGGGCCAAACAAATGATCTGTGCAAAATTTCATCTGGATCGGGCAATAAATGCGACCTGTACTTTGTTTACAAAAATATATTGACAGACGGACAGACGGACGGACGGACATGCATAAATCGACTCAGAATGTGATTCTATGCAGATCATCAAAAGGAACTATGGGTCTATCTCGTTTCCTTTTGCCTGTTACAAACAAATGCACAAAGACATAATACCCTGACCACCTTGTGGTGTAGGGTATAAAAACTGTAAGTGCGGCCGGGCCGAATTTTGAATACCCTCCATCATTTGCAACGAATTTGGAAATTCTCAGAAACAATAAAATCTTAAAAACACCGAATGTAGCTGTAATGTAATGGTCTATACGACGACATGGACCTGCATAGGTAACTTTTGTCATAAGCCATTACAATATACAAATGCGAAACTTAAAAAAATCGGTGAATAATGTAGCTAAAATCATTAAAATACCGAATATCGGGAGGTGCTTATATATGGGGGCTATACGAAGACGTGGACCTGCACAGACAATTTTCTGTTTTAGGCTGTAGTATCCATTTCGAACTTCAAATACCAAACTTGAAACAATTCCGTTGAATAATGTCTCTAAAATCATCAAAATACCGAATATCGGGAGGTACCGTTATATGCGAGCTATACTAAAACATGGACCTACATGGTCCATTTTCAATACCAAAAATCCTTTAGACATAATATACATTTGAATAAATGTTATCAATCTACTTCATTTCGTTCGAAGGCTAGAGTGATTTCCACAGACGGACAGACGGGTGGACATCGCTAAATCGACAAGGTAAAAAGTATCAGTCGGTTTTGCCGACAGATATATACCCTCAGCCAATGTCCGACTATTTAAATATGTTTTGACTTCTGCTATGATTATTCAATTGTTGACCCTCTTTGGAGAAGGTTCCGAAGCAATGAACCATTATTGTTCATTTCGTATCGGTCCTACATAAATATGATATAAATATAGCGACGTATCAGGTTTGGATTATATTGATTACTTCCTTCACTTTATATGAGACTAGCTGAACCCGGTGCGCTTCGCTACCCCTTTTGATTTTATATGCATTCAAAATTTTATTTACGAATATATGTTGGATAAAGAAAAACAAATTTAAAAATTAAAAAAAAATATTGCACTAATTTAATGCGTTAATAAACAAAATCATTACAAAAGCAGTAACATGACATGCATACACGAAGGGTTTGTCCTTTTGATTTATTTATTTCATAGCAAATACCAAGCGTGCAGGAAACTGCAATTTTTTTAAGTAGAGTGGCATTTCTATTGCTATTAGTGAATTCGAGATAGCAACATACTTCGCCGTAATAAGCGTATTTCAAATAAATTGTTGTGTTGTTTTTTAGCGTTAGCCTAAGGCGTTGTGGGTCAATGGTTCTTATTAAAATCATATCCCAATCTGATCCGATTTAAATATAATTTTAAAAAAATTACTTTTACACCAAACTCCGCCACACCTTTCATATTTCATTGAAATTGGTGCGTCAAATATGTGAAATCGGCCGAGAATATATGTATGGGAGCTATATCCAAATCTTCACTAATTTCCAATTTATTTATCACATTTATTATTATAACCAAATTCCGCCACACATTCTGAATTTCATTGGAATCGGTCATATATATCGTGTTTGGTGCATAATATGTATGAAATCGGCCTCAACTGATTTCAATATAATTTGGCAATTTTTTCTGGTGCCAGATTTTGTCTTCTCGCTTTGGGTGCATCAAATATGTGAAATCGGCTGAGTATATATATGGGAGCTATAATCACATCTGAGCGTATTTGAATATATTTTATTTTTGTACCAAATTTAGCCACTCATGCCGAATTTCGTTGGAATCGGAAATACGTATCGTGTTTTGTGCATCAAATATGTGAAATCGGCGGAAAATATATCTGGGAGCTATATCCAAATCTGAACCGATTTTAATATAATTTGACTAATTTATTTTCTAATCAAAATCCCGTTACATATTCCAAATTTCTTTGGAATCGAACATACATATCGTGTATGGTGCATAAAATACATGAAATCGGTCGAAAATATATATGAGAGCTATATCCAAAACTGAACCGATTTCAATTTAATTTGACAAATTCATTTTGGCTCCCAATTCCGTTACTTATTTTAAATTTCATTACAATTGGAAATACATGTCGTGTTTGGTCCACCAAATACATGAAATCGGCCGAAAATGTATATGGGAGCTATATCCAAATCTGAACCGATTTCAATATAATTTGGGAAATCAATTTTTTAGATAAAATCTATCACACGTTTCAAATTTCATTGAAATTGGGGATACATAGCCTGCTTGGTGCATCAAATGCTTGAAATCGGCCGAAAATATATATGGGAGCTATATCCAAATCTGAACCGATTTCAATATAATTTGACAAATTTATTTTCGGATTAAATCCCGTCACATATTCCAAATTTCATTGGAATCGAACATTCATATTGTGTTTGAGGCATCAAATGAACGAAATCGGTCGAAAATATATATGGGAGCTATATCTAAATCTGAACCGATTACAATATAATTTGGAAAACTTATTTTTGTTCCAAATTCCGTTACGTATTCCAAATTTGGAGACTGTATCTTCAACCAATCAATAGATATGTGCATATAAAATCTAAATTTTTGGGAGGTACCTCCGATTCTGATGCTATATCTCCAGTTCCAAGTGGAAATTCAAAAATGTATATAGCCTATGTTACTTTCAGGCGATGTTGCAGTATATATGGAAATTTTCAGGGAAATCTATTCAGCGGTTTTCGAGTCCATAAATTACAAACAAACATACAAACATTTTCCTCTTTTATAGATATAGAAGATATGTGATAATTTTTAAAAAAAATGTTAAAATGTGCTTGAGGTACCGGATATAGTCGACCGAAGTATTTCATACTTCATCTAATACAGATAACAATATTGGAAATCAGAAAATCGAACATTTGAATCTAATTTTATGCAAAATCATAAATTCCATATTCCTCTCAGTTTCTGCAACGCGAGATATATTTAAATATAGCAAGCAGTAAAGAATCAAGTTGTAAAGTCGCAAGTTATGACAGATCAAAGTATTGTGACCCTTTTTGGGTCAGGTATAAAATAAAATTTAATCTAAAAAATAATAAAACAAGTAAGCAAAGGCTACAGTCGAGCGGGGCCGACCGTTGAATACCCTACAACACTATAATAAACCATACAGTTGATATAGGCAGATACTCGAAAGAATTCCACAAGATTTTGTGACAAATAATAAAAGAAAACCATCGGGTTCCGTTCTCTAATTTTCGAATAATAGCAACTTAAACTAATTTGCTCATTTCCAATTTATTGGTAGATGTTGCACGTAAATGGTCTTCCTAGATCTGGAACCAATATTTCTCAAAAAAATGAGAAACAGACATTTGACTATATTCTTCAACGAAATCAGCGTTAACGAAATAGTCAGAAGTGCGTCTTTCCTGTATTTGTGAATTCTCCAAAAAGTCACTGGAATCGACATTTTCGTATTTTGTCTACAAAATTTGGCAAACTATTTCACACATTGAATATTTTTGGATGGCCATCCAAAACTGCTTGGCTTTTGTAATGTCCGGTAACCCCCATTCAAATGTGCGTGAGGATCGGGCGACAATTTTGCAGTGTTTTGGTCTATTTCAACCCCTAAATATATGGCGATCATCTCCAAAAAGAGTAGGCTTCTATTCTGACCCTCATCTTATCGCCATGCAAAATTTCGTAAGGATCGGTCCATAAATGCGATCTGTATATGATATCCTGATATCCCAACTACTTAGTTTTGTTAGCTGTAGAATTAGTACTAAATGTTTAATTCAAAATGAAAATATGCCAAAAATATGACAAAATTGAAAAAATATGAGAAAATTTTACAAAATCAATATTTTCATCTTTAGAGAGATATTTTTATGAGATTTTTTTAGACGCTTTTTCTTTCCAGCCAAGAGGCCATTCTAAACTAATGAGAACTTTCGAAATCGGTTCAGCCGTTCTCGACATATAAGAGATTTTTCAAGCATATCTTCTTTGATATACATATATATCGCACATATTTTGCTATATATCCGTATTGTTGGATGTTAACATCAGTGTAAAGATCAGAAGTAACCTTGTCATGGCTTTGTGATTTCGCCGGGATTTAAAATATTCGCGGTTTAATGAAAAATTTTGAATTTTTTCAACACAAAATATATGGTCTATTTCACCGCTAAATGTTATCCGATGACCACCCAAATTGGTAGGCTTCTTCCCCGCCCTAAACTCTAGCTACATGCGAAATTCCGCGTCGATTGGTCTGTAATTGCGACCTGTATAGCTACTGCAAAATCCGACATTTTTTCAGTATTTGGTCCATTTCAACCCCTAAACAATTGGCGATCATCTCCAAAAGAAATAGGGTTCTATTCTGACCCCAGTCCCACCTCCATTCTAAATTTCGTGAAGATCGGGCCATAATTGCGACCTGTAGAGTGATTACAAATTAACATGGACAGACGGACAGACGGACAGACGGACGGACGGACATACATAGCTAGATCGACTCAGCTCGGCGAGCTAGGAAGATCCATATATACTTTCCTATGTGGGAAACCAATATTTCGAGGTGTTACATAATTTTTGGGCCAATCAAACTTATAATACCCCCAACACATAGTGTTGTAGGGTATAAAAATTATAATAAAAACTTCCAACTTTTGATTAACTTTTATTAATTAATAAGATTTAATAAACAACTTTACTTTTCCTACAACTTTGTTGTCTCGACAGTTATGTTTCAAAAAAACGAGAATTCTCTTCCCACTCCAATTGTGTGCGAACAATGTGCTCCACACTAGAAGACCTCATCCACCAAGACTCCACAACAATGTAAACGAGGTATTATTTAGCAATTAAGACCAATTGAGCTTCATTTATGCAAGGGGCATGGGCTTGGAATTGTGGCTGGGCCAGCATTTTTTTTTTCGAAATTTACCAGAAAACCACAAATGAAGAACTCAGACAAAATAAAATTAAAAACAAAAACAAAAGTGAATTCAAAAAAGCTCTGCTCTGAAACCTCGGAAATTTGTGTGTGAATGCAGCACATATTTGGTTTCATTGAAATAAATTGATGGCCATGATGAACGGTAAGGGCGTAGATGTCTGTGTGAATCAGTTATAAACAATTTTGACATGTGATTCCAATTGGACTGAGTTTAAATCGAAAACTAAGAACCTACAGAAGGGATTTTCATGCAAGGTCTTTACTGGTCTTTCCGTAAGCTTAAAATATTTAGCAACCTTCGCCGTGTACTCCTATCCATCATCTATTTCTAGAAGGCTTCATTGATTTTCATTGTAAAAAAAATCCCCAATGACTTTCGATCAATCTTCTAACTATTGGTCTTCTATCTGTGAACAACTCGGTGGTTTTCGAGTTTTCTAACAAGAAGTAAAGATTCCGCAACCTTTTTTTATACCCTCCACCATACGTAGCATGGAGGACATATTAAGTTCGTCATTCCGTTTGTAAGTCATCGAAATAATAATTGTAGACCTAACATAGTATATATATTCTTGATCAGCGTAAAATTCTAAGATGAATTAGCCCTGTCCGCCCGTCTGTTGTAGTCACGTAAGAGTCAAAAAGTATATATATTCTTGATCAGAGTAATATTCTAAGATGAATTAGCCCTGTCCGCCCGTCTGTTGTAGTCACGTTAGAGTCAAAACGTATATATATTCTTGATCAGCGTAAAATTCTAAGATGAATTAGCCCTGTCCGCCCGTCTGTCACGTTAGAGTCAAAACGAATAAAGAACGAAGCTAAAATTTTGCACAGATCCGTCTTTTGTCTGCAGGCAGGTCGAGTTCGAAGATGGGCTATAGCGATCCACTATGTCGTATCGTATTCTTAGAACTTTACTCCATGGAAGAGAATTGTCCATGGGTCCACTATATCCTGAAGCTCCCGTATTTTAACGAAATTTTCGACCGGCTTTGTTTTTAATTTGGCGACATTATTTAATGAAATTGTTATAAGTTTCGTATTTTCGTATACTTATGCAGGTCCATGTCTTCCTCTAGCCCCCATATAACGGTTTTCATTTAAGTAATATTTTTTGACGGTTTTTTTTTTTTTTTTTGTTTTGAAGATCCTTCAAAATGTTGGAAGGTATTAAAAGTTCGGTTTTCTAAAATTAAAATATCATCAAAATTCCGAATATAGGGAAGTACTTTTTTATTGGGGCTATACGAAGACGTGGGCCTTCACACACAATTTTACCGAAAAAGGGAGGTGCCATTATATGGGGGCTATACCAAAACGTGGACCTACATCACCCATTTTCAATGCCAAAAGTCCTGCAGACATAATACACATTTGAGTAAAATTTCATCAGCCTACTTCATTTCGTTCGGAAGCTAGAGTGAATCGACATAGAATTTTATGCTGATCAAGAATATATGTACTTTGTGGGGTCTAAAATGCATATTTCGAGGTGTTACAAACGGAATGACAGACTTTGTAAATTCTTCACAAAAGCCCACTATTGTTATATTTTTTTAAGTAATAAGGCTAATTATAATTTGTGAATGTCTCTGATCTTTCACAGACATACGCAAAATACTGGAACTCTTTCACAATCTGCCACAATCCATGCTTCTTAACAATCCATGCTTCTCAACAAATTTGGTACCAGGCCACAAATAAAGGGAACAGAAAATATTTTTTTCAGATTTTTAGGTATTATATGAAACGTTACAGCTTCAATGTATTCCCAAGAAATATTCCCCAAAGGGTTTCCAACAATATTTCCAAGCACACTATGTTACAAAAACGCAAGGGTTACGAGGAGTCATACAATTTATGAAAGTCTATTAATTTTTACTCAAAACTAAAAGCATTGATACTCCCTCTCTCTCTCTCTCTCTCTCTCACTTCTCTCATACGAATGCAATTTGATGCCATGACATGCAATAAACTCCTCTTCATTTAATTGAAAATGTAAATCCCCCACAACAACAATAACAACATTAAAACCGAATAGAATATCCAGGGCCGACACATTGACTGCACAAACATGCACACAAACACACTCACAAATTATGCTCGTCTGTCCGCCCTTTATTGTCATTCCTGCATTCAGTCGCCCGTCTGTTATTTTCGTCAACAACAACAACTACAAATCAAGTCCACTTAAATTGCAACATAATGACAATAATTGAATATCATTCATTCAATTATCATTGAATGAATGAATGAAAGAATATGCAACGACTGAAATTACACACCCGATGTGCTAAAGCAAGTTTCACGAGACTCGGACATTAGACGAAACACAATAACCGCTATGATGCACGACATTTTAATATTACACATGGAACCAATATAATAGATATTGGAATAGATACATTTTGAATATCGAACTTACCTCCACCGATGACTTGAGATATTGCGGCACCTCCTTCAGATTCATGTCGAAACAGCGTATCTTCAGTAATTTCTCCACTCGTAAATATTTGCATTTTCGTTCTTCGGGTCCGACGAAGCCAAATGCCAACATTTTGCCAAATATCGTGAGGAAGGATATTTGCAAGATCACCGAACTGAGTTCCATACTGAAATGAGAAACGAAACAGGACATTTCAATTTGGGAAGGTCAATGAGCAGTTGAGGAATGTTTTTTTGTTGTTTTTGTTGTATTTAAAGATGATGATGATGAAATATGCAAAAATATTTACGGTATTCGAATAAAACAATTTATGTTGATCTCATTATGGTGGCGCATGCATGTTTCGTATGTCGCGATGTATGTGTATGTTTGTGGGGGGTACTTCATGAAACCACTTCAACAAGTGCTAGAGGTATGTGTATAAGCTTGAAACGGCAAAAAGAGAATTTCTGTCGGGAGTGAAATATAAGAAGGATATCTTATGGACTATTCAACCCAATAAACGCACAGGAGGCAATGAACACTTTGCGAAATAAATATAAGTACATGAGGAAATTTTACCACAAAATTGCCACGCGACATTAAAGAGAGTGCGAGACGTAAGAGAGTGATGACGTAAGAAAAAAGTGAATTCTCTCATGAAGGCCTGTAGGATGTGTCCAACTGTCCAACCCCTATCGAAGGATTTTCAAATGTAATAGTCCTGCAAAAGGCCTTCCTGTCGAGAGTAGGCCCATGACTTCAAGCCATGGAAGACCTTCGGAAGGCTTTCCATTTATTTTTTATGTACATAAGAACTCTGTCCAAAGAAGGCGTAAGGTCATTCTATGGACCTTCTGTCCATAGAAAACCTGTGGAAGGTTCTTTATCAGTAGGAGATTTTTGGGAAATCTGTTGTCCCTCGAAGACTTGTGAATTTCTTGTGACTATTGAAGATAAGATGGAAGATCTTTTTATCCCTAGAAGAACTGTCCTTATCAGTAGGAGACTTTTGGAAAATCTGTTGTCCTTCGAAAACTTGTGAATTTTTTTCTGACTAATGATATGTGGAAGGTTTTTCTTATTGGAAAATCTTTTATCCTTAGAAGACCTGTCTTCAGTCCATAGTACATAAAATAACTGTGGAAGATATTTTGTTCCTAGAAGACCTGTGGAAGAATTGCGGAAGGTCTTCTGATCGTAGAACAGCTATAGAGGGACTTCTGTCAATAGAAGATCTGTGAAAGATTATTTGCTTTTACGAAACCTGTGGAAGGTCTATATAAGACTTGTGGGAGGTCTTCTGACTACAGAAGATCTCTGGAAGACCTTCAGTATATAGAAGACCTGTGGAAGATCTTCTTCTTCCTAGGAGACCTGATTGAGCCTTTTTGACTATATAACAGCTATGGAAGTCTTCTGTCTATAGAAGACCAGTTGGCGGTCTTCTGACCATAGAAGGTCTGTGGTAGGTCTTTTTAATATAGATGACCTCGGAAAGAATTTTGGCTATATATCTGTCCATAGAAGATCTGTGAAAGGTCTTCTGACCATTAAAGGTCCGTGTAAGGTCTTCTTAATATAGATGACCTCGGAAGTACTACTGACCATAGCAGACCTCTGGGACGTCTACTGGCTATAGAAGACCTTAGAAGATATTTTGTCCCTAGAAGACGTTGGATTGTCTTCTGATTAAAGAAGACTTGTGAGGAGTCTTTTGTCCCTAGGAAACCTGGAGACCTTCTCCTTCTGACGATAGAAGACCTGCGGAAGGTTTTCTGACTATAGAAGACCTGTAGAAGGTCTTCTGACCATTAATATAGATGACCTCAGAAGGTCTTCTAACTATAGAAGACCTGTGGGACGTTTACTGACTATGACGTGTGGAAGGTCTTGTGACTGTTGAAGATTTAGGGCCCTTGGAAGATATTTTGTCCCTTGAAGACCTGTAGAATGTCTTCTGATTATAGAAGACCTGTAGAATGTCTTCTGATTATAGAAGACTTGTGAGGAGTCTTTTGTCCCCAGGAGACTTGCGAAGATCTTTTGTCCCTAGGAGACCTGTGGAAGGTCTTCTGACTATAGAAAAACTGTAGAAGTTCTTCTGAATATAGATGAACTCTGGAAGGTCTTCTGACTATAGAACAACTATGAAAGGTCTCCAGACTAAAAAAGATCTATGGAAAATCTTCTGACAATTGAAGATCTGTGGAATACCTTTTATAAATAGACGACCCTTGGAAGATTTTTTGCATTTGGAAGACCTGTGGAAGATCCTTTGACTATAGAAACCTTGTGGAAGGTCTGACAATAGCAGACCTGTAGGGTGTCCGTCAAAATTAGAAGACTTATTGAAGATCTTCTAAATTAACAAGGCCTATAGAAGCTATTTTAACAACATGGAATGTGTGTATGGTCTTCTAACTATGGAGGAGGTGTTGGAGGTGTCCGTCAAAAATAGAAGACTTATTGAAGATCTTCTAATAACATGGAATGTGTGGATGATCTTCTAACTATGGAGGAGGTGTTGAAGGTCTTCTGATCGTAGAAGACCTGTGGATATTCACCCATCTATAGAAGCCTTGTTCAACGTCTTCTCTCTGAAAGGTCTGTTGAAAATCGTCTCTCTTTGAAAGACTTATTGAAGGTCTTCTCTCTATGAAAACTTCGAGAAAGTATAGGTCTTCCAGAGAGGATATACTTTTCACAAGTTTTTAATAAACAGAATTGTGGAAAATGTCGTCCATTTGGAAGATCTGTAATAGGTCTTCTAAATGTGGAAGATTTTCCAACAATAGAAGATCTGTGGACAGTTGTTCTATATCTAAAAGACATGTACAAAATCTCTTTACTATGTTTAGGTCATAGAATTGCTGGAGGAGATTTTTTACTCAATGAAGATTCTTCTCTTTCTCTCTCTCCCTCTCTCTTGAAGAACTAATTTCTATAAAAGACTCGTCGATATTTTCCTGAAACACGTTAAAAATATATAACTTTTTCCTTCACCTAATCTTACCCTATACAAACAAATCGCAGTGTATCTAAAAGAATAATTTTCATTAACATTTTATTGCTGTTGTTCTTGGTTCTTATTAGTATTGTTTTGTGAATGAAATTCGTTTTCAATTCCAAGATTGTTGTTGTTTCTGTTTTTGGATTGAAATACGATATCCTTCCTGTATGTCTGCTCTGGCAGGACATGCTACGAGACCCTCGGGCATGCAGCCAGCAGTCCATTGTGCTAAAGTGTAAAAATTTCGCTATAGCAAGGTAAGGTAATTTCAGGGGAATTCAATTGAAATGCTCGCACGAATCCATATATTCACAGATTCTTTGAAACAGTTATGGCATAAAAATTGAAATAGTTCAAAAGTTTCCATTTTTTAAACTCTACTTTGTGTGACGTTTTTTTTTTATCAAGCAAATAAACAAATTAGTACCTTTTTTGTTTCATTTTATTTAGAGAACATAAAAAACTATTTTGTTAAAATAAAATAAATATTATGGGGCGTTGTTGTCGTGAATTTTCGAAAAGTTAATCTATCATTCAAAATTCATTCATGCCTATCGCCGCATTCATCCGCACGTCTATTCATTGATTATTTGATTTTTCTTTACGCTAACGCTAGCAATAATTTTTATTTTCATTTTTTTTTCTTTACTTGACTTCCAAACAATTTGTAGCGGAATAAAGTAATCACATTTCCCTCGAACAGAGAATCCATCAAATTAGAATGCCACAAATTAACGCAGCAGTAAAAATGTCATCGGTCTAATTCATCATCAAAAAAAAAAAAAAAAAAAAAAAAAAAGAGCCTTAGAACAAAAAGTCAATTCACCGCTCGCTTGAATTCATTCAGAGAATGTAACACAATTTCGGTTAAGATTCAAGTTCACAAATAATTTAACGCCAAGCGGCTGGGAAATTGATCAACCCACCCACAAAACGGCACACTCCCCATACACCATCCCCAAAAGCAGAGACAACAACCAGAGGAAATAATAAAAAAGCCAAAAAAGAAAAAAAAAAACAGAAAAATGTAAACAAATAGAGGTGTGTTTACAGATATGCACAGTGGGCCATGAACAGTAAATACAGATAACTTGCTTTATAGTATAATTTTGGATTTGAAATCCTGGCTTATTATTGAAAAAAACGTAATAGATTGCATACATTGGGGCCTTTGGTGTGACTGTAATATGGAATTGAAAAAAAAATGCAGCAACATTTTAGAAAGTGACCTCGATACCAAATTTCAAATTCCATCCCTATCCCAAAACCCACAGCACATTTTGTAACACTGCATTTTTCGTTCATTCAAAGTACACATTTCCAAAATAACCTCCTCCTCTCAACTATAGATACAAACAGTTACGCTCATATCAAATTTCAGGATTACAGCATTATTCCTTCACTCAATACCAAATTTAGTACTTTTAGTACAATTTTAGTATATATTTCCAAAACCAAAATTCCAGATACAAACAGAGACCACAATGTCAAATTTAGAGATCCTATCCCCTCACCCAGTACCAAATTTAGTACCATTTAGTATTTTTCGTACAAATGCTGGAGGCATTTCCAAACCACCAGCAAATTTCAAACACAGATAATATCAGTAATCTAAATATCAAATTTCAGTTTTCTCTACTTTCACCCAATACCAAACATAGTACCATTAAGTACTTTTCGTACAATTATAGTACACATTTCCGAAACCACCTCTATGTGTCTGGGCTACACATGACACAGCTACACATAGTACTATTTAGTTCTTTCCGTGCACTTGTAGTACACACTTCCAAAACCACCTCCAGCTCCAGCTCCATCCTTTCACCCAATACAAAATATATTACCATAAAGTACTAAGTTTCAGATCTCAAGCACTATCAAATTTCGGGATTCCAGCTCTATCCTTTCACCCAATACCAAATATTGTACCATAGAGTACCAAATTTCAGATCTCAAGCACTATCTTTGCACTTGTAGTACACCTTTCCAAAACCAACTTCATACCTCAATCCAACAGAGACCTCAGTATCAAATTTCGGGATTCTAGCCCTATTCCCTTACCCAGTACCATTTAGTACTTTTCGTACAATTACCATGCACATCTCCAGAACCACCTCCAAATCTCAATTCCAGATACCAGCAGAAACCTCAATATCAAATTTGAGTATTCCAGT